TCTAGTGCTGAGGACTCCAGCTCTAGAACTGTTACCATAGTCCAAAAGTAAGACCTCTTCCTTTGCCCCTGAGTACATTTGGCTCTTGGGATTCAGGAACCTCAACCCTCTGTATGTAAATCTGGCTTCAAGGTCAGAGTGGTTTCAATTAACCTCCAGGACCTGAAGAAAGAGATTAAGTATTCTCTGGTGGAGTGTTTTCAATCAGAGGAATCTCAGAGAGAGAACTCTTGACTGGTAACTTGCAGCTAAAGTGTTCTGATGTTAGAGTTTTCGTGGATTAAGAAGCAGATGTAGATTCTCTTCCATTTATACCATAACAAGTGTGGATTCTATTCCATTTATACCGTAACTACTTTAGGTCTGTGGCTTCTAGTTCTTACTCTTCCTTCCATGACCTGTTTTTTGAAATGTAGCTACACAGTTCCCACTCTTCGGGCTGGCTATTGGCTCTTAGAATATGTAGCTTCAGAATTCTGTAGGTGGAAGCTTATTAATCAAATCTTCAAAAGTCAAAGTGACCTACTGCATAATGGGCAACACTGAGAAAAGAACCTGGATCAATACTGGAAAGTAGGCACATGGTTTCATGAACGACATTTATTACATTGTCTTCTAGGTGTCTCACTTCTTTGAAAAGCAAACAGAAATTTTATCAAGTCAAATACAAAATGATCCCTCTATATTTGTAGGGATATATAGCTCAGTCATGCTCCAATGGACTTTTGAAAACTAGGTATGCCACTTTATTTTTATTTTTTTATTTTTTATTTTTTTATAAATTAATTTTTATTGGTGTTCAATTTACCAACATACAGAATAACACCCAGTGCTCATCCCGTCAAGTGTCCCCCTCAGTGCCCGTCACCCATTCACCCCCACCCCCCGCCCTCCTCCCCCTCCACCACCCCTAGTTCATTTCCCAGAGTTAGAAGTCTCTATGTTCTGTCTCCCTTTCTGATATTTCTCACACATTTCTTCTCCATTCCCTTATATTCCCTTTCACTATTATTCATATTCCCCAAATGAATGAGAACATACACTGTTTGTCCTTCTCCGATTGACTTACTTCACTCAGCATTTCCCTAATGGCAAGTGATGCAGAGCATTTTCTCATGTGCATGTTGGCCATGTCTATGTCTTCCTCTGTGAGATTTCTCTTCATGTCTTTTGCCCATTTCATGATTGGATTGTTTGTTTCTTTGCTGTTGAGTTTAATAAGTTCTTTATAGATTTTGGAAACTAGCCCTTTATCTGATATGTTATTTGCAAATATCTTCTCCCATTCTGTAGGTTGTCTTTGAGTTTTGTTGACTGTATCCTTTGCTGTGCAAAAGCTTCTTATCTTGGTGAAGTCCCAATAGTTCATTTTTGCTTTTGTTTCTTTTGCTTTCGTGGATGTATCTTGCAAGAAGTTACTGTGGCCAAGTTCAAAAAGGGTGTTGCCTGTGTTCTCCTCTAGGATTTTGATGGAATCTTGTCTCACATTTATATCTTTCAATAAAAACCGTTCAACTCCTCAACATCTAATAGTGAAGCTTGCAAATTCCAAAGATAAAGAGAAGATCCTTAAAGCAGCAAGAGACAAGAAGTCCCTGACTTTCATGGGGAGGAATATTAGGGTAACAGCAGACCTCTCCACAGAGATGTGGCAGGCCAGAAAGGGCTGGCAGGATATATTCAGGGTCCTAAATGAGAAGAACATGCAACCAAGAATACTTTATCCAGCAAGGCTCTCATTTATTTTTAATACTAGTATTTCAACCTAAATAATGGCGATTGGTAGTCTAATGTAAATATGTGCTTTGATTCTTTGTGTTAATGTCCTGGGCTCCTTCCTGTCTTTATTTCTCATTTGCTGTTGGCCTAGAGATCTCTCTCTGTCTCTCTCTTGCTGTGTTTCATTTTCTACCTTTAAATTATTGGAACTACTAACATCTGTGCTATGCCACCACCACTACCATCCAGAAACTTCAGGGAAGTTTGTGGCAGTTGTAATGCCTTGTGAAACCTGGACTCTGCTACCAGCTATTTGTATAGTTCTGTCTCCTCCAGGACTCTCACATCTACTTCCCTGCTTTGCATTCCCATTGTTCCCGACCCAAGCCAGAACCCCTTTCACTCCTGCTGAGACTAGTACAGTAGCCTTCCCTTGTCACAGCACAGCCTCTCTGCCGCTAATTCATCACTGCCATCACTGTCAGGTGCATCTGTTCAGGATGCTTCTCTGTTCACAGCCCTGACAATTAGATCTCTTTTGTGACATATTATGTCAGACTCACAAAATCCGGCCCTAACCTAATGTGGTTTGGAGTGGGGGTGTTCAGAGCCTGTGGCCAAGAAAGAATTCTTGAGATATTTTCACTGCAAAAAGGGTGTTTTTATTATAGCACAGGGACAGGACACATGGGCAGAAAGAGCTGCACTGGGGTTGTGGGGAATGATTGATTATAAAAAATTTTTCTACCCTATGGAGGGAAGGGTGATGTTAGGGTTCCAGGAAATTGAATCTATAGCTTTCTGGAGATTGTTTTATTCTTGTAAATCATTTGGACAGTCGCAAACTGATGGAGACTCCTGTCCTGCAGGACTGTGATCTCATATAACCCTTTGTTTCTCCCTTCCCTTTGTTCTTGGGTAGCCAGGAGTGTCTGAGGAATGTCACACATGTCCCACCAGGAGGGAGGCGGGGTGCCAGGTGTTAACTTGTGCTGTGCCCTCAGTTTCCCTTTTGCTCCCTCATCAAACCTACTTTTTCAATTAACCTCTAGGACCTCCCAGTCTTTAACATCAATCAGACCACATCATTGCCTCTACTAAAATCCACACCCCCAAGCCTCTGACTCCTCTTTGCACTTAGAACAAAATCTCATCCCCTTGTTTTAGTTCTCAAAGCCCTGGAGTGATCTGTCACCAGCTTCATCTCATGCTCTTCCTTCCACTGCTCATTCCATTCCAGACACACTAATGGCTTCATGTTCTGTGAACACTCCACACTTTGCTACCACCCAAAGCCTTCACATTGGATTTTCCTTTTGTCTTTAATTCTCTTCTTCCTGCTTCTTCCTGGCTGGCTTTTTCTGGCCATTCTGCTTTCAGTTCAAAATGACCTCCTCAGAGAGATCTGCCTTTAGCTCCCTGCTTAAGGTAACCATGCATTCCCTCTACCACTTAACCCCACTTTGATTCCCTACCTAGCACTTATCACTAGCTTCCAGGTTTATTTGTTATGAACTGCTTGTATTTATTGGCATTTCATTGTCTTCCTCAATAGACTGTATATTACACAAGGAAAGGAATGATTTCTGTTTTCATCATTGTAACTCCAGTACTTCAAAGAGTATCTGACACATTGTAGACAATTGATAGGTCAATAGTTACTGAAATAAGCAATGGGAAAGAAAAGGCAATAACAGGGAGCACCCGTCTTGGTGGGGACAGTGGGGGAGGGCAGGATTGGTGATAGAGAAGTCTCCTTTAGGAGATTTTTGGATTTATAGAGCTAGGAACACATAAAAGGAGAACATAGGGCACATATAGCGCATTCTGGAAACTACAAAATGTTTTGTTATAAATACATTGTAGAATTGTATGGAAGCAGTGAATAAATTGAAAATTAATGGCAAGAGATGAGATAGACAAAAGGAAGAATCCACATTTCAAGGGGTCTTAAAGAGTTCTTCATCTTGAAGAGTTTGTGTTTATTGCTCAAGGAGTAGGAACACCTGATGGATTTTAAGTAGTAAAGTGATATGATCAGGCTTTTGTGTGAGGAATATCATTCTGACTTCATTCTAGAGAAAGAATTGAAAATGGGTAACTTGAGGATAAGAGGCTAATTAAAAGATATGCAGGAAAAAAAGAATGATGTCTGCACTAATACTTTAGCGGTAAGTGTAAATCTGGAGAATGACTAGCTATCTGGTCAAAAGGTAAAATCAATAGGTTTTGATGACAAGTTGATGTGAAGGGTTCAGACAAGGAGAGAGATCCTTGGTCTTCCCTACACAGCCCACTTGATGAAGGACTTCAGGGTCATAGGACTCACGTCAATGAGACTGTCTGTTAAATCCTTATATGACCACCCTTTAGTGCTGGAGCCTTTTTTAAAAAATTTTATTTATTCATTCATGAGAGACACACACAGAGAGAGAAGCAGAGACACAGGCCGAGGGAGAAACAGGTTCCACACAGGGAGTACATGGGACTTGATCCCAGATCCCCAGGATCAGGCCCTGGGCTGAAGGAGGTGCTAAACCACTGAGCCACCCAGGCTGCCCTGCTAGAGCCTTTCTGAGAGTCACACTCACTCCAGAGGGTTAGACTGAAATTTGCTTTCTCATCCCCAACTTTGAGGTCCTGCTACTATTTGATGCCCCACAAGCTTTCCGGAAACACAACACCTATTATAACAATCCTTGGTTTCCCCACTTCTTCACGTATCCCTCTATCTCACCTGCGGGGTATAAGAGAATGAATCGGCTCATTTGTTTCCTCACACAGGGTGCTTGTCTCTCTCACACGCAAATAGAATGAGACATAGTACCAAGATCATTTTTTTGCACAGCTTTCTTATGCTCTTCTGCTTAATCATAATATATTTTTAAATTTGATACAACCACTGCTGTAACCCTTAAATACTGAGCAGTATTCATCACATATCTTTATATTTTCCTACTCAGCACACACTTCTCTTACTTCTAGTCATTCCTCTGCCATTGTTCTTTCATTTATTTTTCATTCATTCATACAATATTTATTAAGCATTAACTTCTGCTCTCTACTATAGCTGAGATTCTGACATAAGTCATCTGGCCCTTGAAAAGCCTCTACCAGCAGCATCCTCCAGCTGTATGCTCATTTGCTTGCTTTGCATTTAGATTGCAGATGGCATGCTCAGGAAGATAGTCAGGAATGGAGATGATGCCTGAGGGCCATTTGGCAAACGGATGGCCAGAAGAAGACCTCTGGAAAGCAGAAGAGTCATAAAAAATAGGGTCATGGAGTCAGGAACCCAGGGAAATCTCTATCTCTACAAGTGCAAGCAGAAGGTTGAGGTAGATTCAAAGGAAGACTCATCAAAATTGCTCAAGATGTCAGAGAAGAGCCAAGAGAAGAACCAATGGAAGCATTTTAAATAAGAGGAAGTAGTCACTAGTATTTATTGCTGCAGAAAGGCCAAGGAAGATAAGAAGGGAAAGTGTTCATTGGGTTTTGTAATTGGGATTTCAGTGGTAAAGTTAGCAAAAGCACTTTTGCGGGCTGGTGATGGGAGAAGGCTGGAGAGTAAAGGGCGCCAAGGAAGTTAAGGAAGCTAAACTGTAGAGAAAGGAGAGAAACCAGTATCAGGGCAGAAGGCAAACAATCCAAGGAAGGACATTATCAATTCTGCCTCTAAAAGGGCACAGCTGTGATCTACAACATGGGCAGGAGACTGAATCCCTTTCCATGGTACCCTTTCTGCCAACTGTACACCACCCACAATGCTGGCAGCTATGGGACTCCTGCTGGCATCCATAGGTCTTCCCGAGCAAAGTGAGAGTGAGGGAAAAAACACTCGGTCTTCCACTTTCTCTCTGCCCTTCTCTTCACCTCATACTTTTAATTCTTAGGAAAAGTAAAATTAAAGATAACCACAGTGTGAAGCAGCTTTAATGAAGGTTTACACAGCTGCAGGATGTGATTCTAATGACCCAGTCTCAGACTTTTTCCCAGTGGCTTCCAGTTTGAAGTTGGCTGCCAGAAAATATTAAAGATTAGCAAAGCACGTGGCCATTTCTCTTAGAGACATTTCCTCTTGTTTCAACACTTAACTGGCTTTGTAATATCAGGGAACAGTCCTTAAATCTCCAGGATCTTAGATTTGAAGATGACACTGTAGAACAGGAGCAGATGTGAAAAAGCCTGCCCACCCCAAGGAGGTTTCAGAGGAAAAGGGCCACTCAGAGGAAGATTATTAGGGATCATGCATCTTCCATGCCCACACACAAAACCCTTGTTCTTTGCCAGTGACTTACTCTGTTGCCTTACAGTTCACAAAGATTTGAACTTGTGGTCTGTCCTGACTATAGCTTTGTTCAGACTTTCAAAGGAATCAAAAAGTCCTGCAAGAATAAGAATCACTCTATTAACCCAACATCCACCTTGAAAACCTTGAAATTGGGGCACCTGGGTGGCTCACTTGGTTAAGCATGCCTTCATTTCAGGTCATGATCCCAGGATCCTCCTGGGATCAAGCCCCACATCAGGCTCCCTGCTCAGCAGAGAGTCTGCTTCCCCCCCCCTTCCTCTGCCCCTCTCCCTGCCTGTGCTCTCTCTCTCTCTCTCTCTCGGTCTCAAAGAAATACCTTTAAAAAAAGAAAACCTTGAAATTTTAAAAGCTGTCTCTCAATTCTGTTTAAACCATATTTCAAATTTTAAACTAGGTAAAATATAAAACAGCTCTTTTGGGATAGTGGCTGGAGTTGGGCACTGATACGGAGACAGCAGCCTCCCCTGATCAGCCTCCCACACACTTCCTTGGGCTCACCCTAAAACCAGAGAACCTCCTAGAAGTGTTCCAGGGAGGAATGTACAAGGAGACAAACACTTCCAAAGGGGACAGGGAGAGCACCCCTAGATTACAAACACTACACCTGTCCTCTAGTCTACTGGTGAAGAAACCCAGTGCAGGTTCAAAGGTAAATACTGGGATCCCCTTCATGAAATCCACATTATTGTGTTTTTCAGTGCAAAAGTATTGCCTCTGAAAGAATTCTGGAAAATTATGTAAAGTCTCACACCTTTCTAAGTGGAAAGCTTTTTTTTTTTTTGCCATCTAGGTTTTAAAATTAATAAAAGATGGGATGTTCCATACATTGTAAAGTTTAGCCTTTTAACATAAGTAAATGTCACATCACTTCTCAAAATTTATTCCTGTGGAATTAAATACTGTAGTGATCTAATGACCCTCATCACTTTAGAAAAATATTAAAGTTTTGGATAATAGGAACTTTTATTATTTGTTATTATAGTTATAGTTATTTTTTGTTTTCTTTCCTTTAATACCTATCTCTTTTCCACTTCCTCTATAGAATTTTAATCTAATATAATGCAATTTTAAGCTTAAAGTCTCTAATTGATCACTAAATCTTCTTTACAAAAAAGGTAACAAATCAAAATTTGAAAGATTCAATTTTCTGAAAGTATATGTGATTTTAGATTCCCCAACCTTCAGGACTTTCATGTGCAACATGAGAGAGTTGGACAAGATGAGCATTCCCAGAACTTATCAAAAATTATTTTTTAAATAATAAGATATTTGATGAAATCCCAACAGAAGGGAACTTATTAGAAATAATACTTATAATTGATCCGAAGGGAACAAGTTTATTATATATATTAAAATATATATGTACTATGCATATATATTAAATATTGAATAGTATTGTGGACACAGGCTGAAATTATCAAGCAGGAAGGCAAAACATAGATCAGTAATATAGGATAGATGATATAACACAGCACAATTCATTGATACCCTATGCATCAAAGTATAGGTCAGCCAGGGAGTTTGCATGCAACTTCCTAGTATTTTGGAGTATGGCATACTAGTTCTTCAGGGGAAATTACTGCATAATAATAATGACAATATTTTTCTGATGTGTGTATTACAAATTGTTTCATAAATGGAAAATATTGGTTGCACCAAGTAGTTACTTGGTAAATATTTGTCAAATGAAAGAAAAAACAAATTCTGTCCTCAGCCTTGGTTCAGAATATCAGAAAGGGAGACAGAACATGAGAGACTCCTAACTCTGGGAAACGAACTAGGGGTGGTGGAAGGGGAGGAGGGCGGGGGGTGGGGGTGACTGGGTGACGGGCACTGAGGGGGGCACTTGATGGGATGAGCACTGGGTTTTATTCTATATGTTGGTAAATTGAACACCAATAAAAAATAAATTTATTTAAAAAAAAAAAGAATACAGACTCAGAAGCAGAGCAGTAAGAAGCAAGCAGGAAGCAGAGGGCTTGAACCTCCACCCTGATGGAAACAGGGAGGATTCTAAATATAATGATTGTTAACAAGAATTTTTTTGGCCACATTGATTTCACATGGATACTAAAAGGAAGTTTTCTTTTCTTGTTTCAGGCCAGCTGCCTAAAAGCCATTACGAACTGGAGATTTCAGAGAGTGATCTTCACAAGTGCCAAACTCCTTTGCTTCAGTGTCCTGATTTTTGGTAAACTTAGTTTTAACCTATCATCTGGACCTGAGTAATTAGGGGACCTTCTCCAAGTAGGAGAAGTGAAGGATAGTAGCCAGTCATTATGAGACATGGGGATACTGTCCCTGCCCAGATGCCCAGAAAAAAAAATGCACCCAACACCATCCTAGTGCTGGAAAGACTGTAGACAAACTGAAATGGACATCTCCAGGGTCCATTATCCATTAGGCACAGCAGGCACTGGCCGACACTACTGATAGGGACACACAAAAATGTCTTATACAATATGAATGAATATATATATATATATATATATATATATAAAGATTTTATTTATTTATTCATGAGAGACACACACACGGAGAGAGAGAGAGAGAGAGAGAGAGAGAGAGAGAGGCAGAGACACAGGCAGAGAGAGAAGCAGGCTCCATGCAGGGAGCCCGACGTGGGACTCGATCTCGGGTCTCCAGGATCAGGCCCTGGGCTGAAGGCGGCGCTAAACTGCTGAGCCACTCAGGCTGCCCTGAATATATATTTATACCAATGCAACTATAAAATACAGTTTTTAAGATTTTATTTTTTTAAGATTTTATTTATTCATGAGAGACACAGAGAGAATGAGGCAGAGATACAGGCAGAAAGAGAAGCAGGCTCCCCACAAGAAGCCCAATGCTGAACTCGATTCCGGACCCTGGGATCCTGCTCTGAGCAGAATACAGACAATCGCTGAGCCATCCAGGTGTTCCAGTTTTTAAGATTTTTATTATGGAGGAAGCAGCTGAAAAAGGCATAACTGCCTAGGCTCCGTGAAAGTCAATAATGCAGCCCTGGTGGCACCAAAATAATAGTCTTAGGGCAAAATAGTGCAATAGAGGTATCAGTGAAGGAGGGACAAATGACCTTCATATGGGCAGCAGAGGACAGGGGTGAATAGGAACAAAAAAGACTATAAACAGGAAAGAGAGCCACTTCCAGGTCTGATTGCTTGCATTGTACACTTCTTCACCTGGGATCTGGCCTTTTCTGGCCTGGATGAGTTCCCACTGGCTACAAAAACAATATCTTTCATCAGAGTGCCCCTTACACTTTTGAAGGGCACATACTTTATTTCATCTGATGTGACAAACATTTCTTCAAAAGGCTTGTTGTAAGCCTTATTTTAACAAGTGAGTGAGCAGGAGGAGAACATAGCATAATTTATCAAAGAGAGACAGTCAAGAGAGATGGAATGAGTGTAAGATTGCAGACCAGGAGATTTGATTTGTAAGCTGCCTCTGCCACAAACATGCTGTGTTTCACTCAACAAGTCTTTACTGAACACCAGTGAAGTGCCCAGCTCTGTGCTTGGTGTGAAGGACCCAGAGATAAAAACAGACCACTCTCAGGATTCACAATCCAGCAGGTGTGGACCATGTCACAGGAAGAGACATTCTAGGGCCCAGTTATAAGGGAGGTGGAGGCAGAGATGAGGTGTGGTGGGAGCCTGGAGGAAGAGGAGCAAGCCTACCTGGGCAAGTCAGGGAAAGTAGGGGGAGGAAAAGTTTACTAGGCATAAGTGGGGACAGCAGCCAGAATAGCAGAAAGCACATTGCAAAGGCACAGAAGTGGGAGTCTGTTTTGCTAAGAAGGTAAATGTGGCAGGTGATGAATCTGGGCCAGCAGGTAAGCTCCAGATCACCAAGCGTCTTATTTTCCATAAGAGGTAGACCCTGGAGACTTAAAGCAGCCACCAAGACATTTTATGTGTCATTTAAATTGGGCAAATTCCTCAAAATGTCTCTTCAATTTATGAAAGGAGGAGAAGATTAGATGACCCAACTCTGTTATCACATGATTCCAAATCTTTAATACTAAGGATCCTCAGAGTACAATTTCCTATTCTGACTTCATGTGTATTTTTTTAGGTAAAAGATGGAAACTACTCTTCTTCCTTAAAAAAAACCAGACTAGACATAAAATAGTCATGTTTTAGGTATTTTTCTTCCAGTCAGAAACTCATCTGACTACTTAGAAGTGTGTTTATGCTCATAAAATCCTTCTGGTTAGGGATGTTAACCTGGCATTCACTCTCCTTCACCCAGAATTAATAAAGCAGAAAGAAGTGGCAGCATGGACCTATAATTACAGCACAAAAGCGTATTCATGGAATTATTCCCGGATTTTCTGCCAGAAGCACTACACAGATTTAGTGGCCATCCAGAATAAAAAAGAAATTGCTTACCTCAATGATGTCATACCTTACTACAACTCCTACTACTGGATTGGGATCCGAAAGATCAATGATAAATGGACCTGGGTGGGAACCAAAAAGCCTCTCACCAAAGAGGCCGAGAACTGGGCTGACAATGAGCCCAACAACAAAAAGAACAATCAGGACTGTGTGGAGATCTACATCAAGAGCTTGTCGGCCCCTGGCAAGTGGAATGATGAGCCCTGCTGGAAAAGGAAGCGGGCGCTATGCTATACAGGTAGGATCTTCTCTACTCTGAAGTTTGTCTGTTTAAAAAAAAAAAATGCCTCCCCTCGTTCATTGATATAACCACTGAGTCAGTAACATTGAGTCACAAATCCAGGGAAGTGAGGACAAGGGATAAACTATAATCAGCACTGTTGAGGACCTGAAAGGATATAAGATCAAAATTAGAGAAAACTGGATTTTTGAAACCATAAAGGACATTTTTATGATCATCTGATCCACCTTCCTCATTTTGTAACAGATGAAATAGACTCTCAGGAAGTTTTAGTCTCCTAAAATTTATGTCCTGAGCTTTTTTGCACCACTCTGCTATAGTATAAGAGATGGTATAAGTTGAAAGGTAGGTTGGCCCCGCCCCCAGGAGACAGCTCTAACTCACACCTACTGCACATCAGTATGTTGCAGGTATTGTTATTAATTTGTGGGTCATGAGTCTATTTCGTGTTAGTTTCATTTAGTCCTCATGAGAACCCTCGTCAATCAGGTCCTCTAGTACTCTCATTTCACTGATGAGACAAAGGCTCAGGCTAGTAAGGAATCTGCTCAAGGTTCTAAACTACTTGATGGTGGAGGAGCCATATGTAGACTGATGGTGGAGTTGGTTTCAAACTCATGATCCACAGTTGGTGCTTATTAACCACATATGCTACTGTACTCTTTGCTCTACGTTCTCATAAGACAATGTGAAAACATGACCAACAATCACAAATGCTTTATAGATTCCCTTCAACAACAGCATATATTCAAGTGTGCTGGACTTTGGGAGGGGCTGGAGGTGTGAGGAAAGGGAAGAAAGAGGTAACTGGGAGTGCATTTGCTTCTCACCAAAGTAAGCAGTTCCTGAGTAAGCAGACATGCATGGAAGCTTGGTCTTCATATAGTCATGCACCTGTGCCAGAACCAGTTCCATCTTTCTGATGTGGATTCTCATGTGGAGGCGCTCTTTCTGCCCCATGTAGCACCCAAACACTGTGGCTAGGGAGAGACTTGACCGTCCCGGGCAAGATAGTCCTGAGTCCTCTGAGCCTCTTCTTTCATAAATCATCTTACAGATGCCACACTCTGCTATGTATGTTCTAAACTCTTTAAATTATAAATACATCCCCTCAGGAGTCTTCCTCCACTTTCCCTCTACTTCTCTCTCTCCTCACTCAAGCCTCCTCTGAGGGAGAACATATCCATAAATGCTTTGTCATGTAGTTAGGTCTCATTTTGTAAATAATTTATAAACAAATGAGCAAACAAATAAATTTATTAATTAAAAAAATCACAACCTGTTCTTTATAGGCTAGGATGAACATTACCAGAATATTTGCTCATCCTGCTGTTCTCCCCGTCAGCTCCCTACACTCCCTGGGTTATGCCTTCCTGAAACTATGCCTGTAAGATTAGTTTGGTTGCCAGTAGATGCTCCAGTATGCCTCTGCTTCCCCTCCCTGCTCAACCTTCAGCATCCATATCTACAAGACTATCTTCCCCAACAAAGCTTGCAAAAAATTACAAGGAAGAAAAGGGATCAGAAACCACTGGTATGCACAATGCCACTCCTCTAACCTGCAATAATGGTGGATATGGCTAATTATTGCAATTTTGCCTGACTGAACACAGCCAGTTTCCATCTCCACCAATACAACACTCTAGGCAGCCACTATCACTGAGTCACATTTTGCCATCCAACACATAAAGGGTATAGGGGAACCACTGACTCTCTGTGGGAGATAGATGATAAATAGAATATCATCTGTCTGCATCAACTGTCTGCAGTCGTAGACTGCAACAATAAATTAAGTTGGGCCAATTCTCTAAATTTTAGGATTTGCTAGACCACAGAATAGCCTAGCAAAAAAGATTCATTCAGTGAATCATCATTATGTCTTTTCCTGGGTATTCAAAGCTATAGAAAGTTACTAACCTGTCTGAAACCCTGATGTGGAGTAGAATACAGACCATTGACTGTTCTCTAATTTCTAACATTCTGAGATCCTGAGGAAGTTATAATCAGAATAGAATTTGTGTGCTCCCAGAGCATAGGACAGACAGGTATTGCTGCTGGGAGACACTGGTAGGGTCAAGGGGAATAGGATGGAAGATGTGGACCAAACCTCTGTCTATTGGCTACTGCTCCTCCTGCATCTTCCTGTTACTTGGAACCCTACCCAGTGCTCCCGTGCAGCTTCACCAAACTTGCTGGCTGCCTCAGGGAATGTTTTCCTATAGAACCTGCATAACTTATGGAATGAGAGCATCTCAGAGTTGAGATCTAGTATAATCCTCTATGTGACATATGAGTTTCCTTTTGTAATGGACCAAAGTGGACCATGTGTAGTCAAGGCCTAGTGCAGAGGGAACATCCCCAGAAAATAGTCTAGCCTCAGACCTTGCCCCCCAGTTCTGACCTCATCAGCAAAATTATTCTCAGTGCTTTCATAATATCAATTCTAATGTTAACCCTCTGTCAGGTGCATAGTGTACACATTCCCAAAAAGTCTATTGCAGAAAAGAAACCCTAACCCTTCTGCATTCAGACCTTCTTCTATTGAGAAGGGCCTGGCTGGCCAGTCATATTGCCCACACATAAGCCTGGCATAGTTGGACCTGTGAAACATCTCTTCAGCAGGCTGTTTGTCCTGTACCATGAAGAGGTCTTAAGCATCTCATTTGCTTCCTCTGCCCCTCCACCATGTGGTGTTGGGTGCAGATTTGAAATGAACAAAAGGTGCAAGGGCTTTGACCCTGATCTTGGGCCAGTTGGCCTCAGAGAAGTAGCTTGCCTGAGGTCGCATAATAGTAGGCAGCAGAGCCAGGATTCTGATCACATTTATGTGACCCCTCACATCTGATTCCTAACCTTTGTCTGTCATGGGGGCTTCTGTAATGATACAACTCTAAGAACATTATTGGTTAAAAAGCCACAATCTGTTTTGTACCACATAGAGGAGTTTTTCTGTCTACACATCTAAGAGTGGCTCTTTGTCTCTCTGTGCCACACATAACAATCCCTCCTTAGGCAACACTAAACTCAGCCTAAAGTGGAAGCTATGCACTGCTCTGGTGGGCTCCTACAATGTCCTTCACAGGGACCAAGATGGCACACCAAAGGACACTGTCATTTTCTGCTATGTGGCCAGCATGATCTTATCTAAGAGGGGCTAAGAAAAGTCAGCTTTTCTTCACATCTCCTGGGAATGCCCATGATTCTTATCCTTCTGTATCCATGCAGCCTCCTGCCAGGACATGTCCTGTAGCAAGCAAGGAGAATGCATTGAGACCATCGGGAACTACACCTGCTCCTGCTTCCCCGGATTCTATGGATCAGAATGTGAATACGGTGAGGCCACTATTTTGTTGATATTATTGTGGCCATTGGTCTTGTGCTGGAAGTGGTGCCAGGAAGCAAACTGTGTTGGAGACTCTCCAGTGAATAATGGCTAGTCCTGGCTCTCTCTATGGTCTGTCATTTGGCCCCATATCAATTGTCCCAAGACACATGCTCTGGGTAAAACATTTCATTAGAACATTTGCTCAGAAAATCCTAAAAGGGAAAAGGGAAACATAAAGGAAGCAAAACAAAGGCTGATTTTGCTCACTTGAAGTAAAAACCAGTGAAAGACTGATTATTTCCCAAGATGTAGTCAATACAAAGGAACCAAGGAAAGATGACCAGGTTGGGTTAGAAAGACAGGATTAAGAGGGTTATACAAATAGCTTCCAACTTCTAGAAAACATGACATTGTCTTTAAACCTGCAATTAAAAAAATCAATATTTTGTCCCTACAGTCAGAGAGTGTGGGGATTTTGATCTTCCACAGCATGTGCTCATGAACTGCAGCCACCCTCTAGGAAACTTCTCTTTCAATTCAGAGTGCAGCTTCTACTGCACTGAAGGGTACAAATTGATTGGACCCAGCAAGCTGGAATGCTTGGCTTCTGGAACCTGGACAAATAAGCCACCACGATGTGTAGGTATGTAGAGTCTATTCTTTCTATCTTCACTGATAACTAGAATTTCAGAGGGGAAAAAAGCTTTCTCCATTAAAAGCATGAGAAGTAGTGAGTATCTGCATTAGATGGGGAATTCTGGTTTTTACTATTATCCATCAATGAGAATAACACTAATACTGGTTTTCATGATGTTTTGTATCTATAGTGAGATAATCAGCATAATTTTTGATTCTCAGGAAAAAGCATCACAAAGGGATCTACCTCTCTTTGTTAATTGCAAAGCAGAGTATAATAATGAGGATTTAGGGCTGAGTATTATTAATCTGATCATTTTACTTTGCTTGCTTCTTTATTTTTTTTTTAATTTCTTTATTGAAGAGAGAGAGAAAGCATGAGTGGGGGCAGTAGGAGAGGGAGAAGTAGACTCCCTACAGAGCAGAGAGCCAATCCCAATTTGGGGCTCATCCCATGACCCTGGGATTATGACCTGAGCCAAAGGCAGTCACTTAAGCAACTAAACCGCCCAGGTGCCCCTTACCTTGCTTCTTTAAAAAGTAAATGCCTGGGACGCTTGGGTGGCTCAGTGGTTGAGCATCTGCCTTTGGCTCAAGGCATAATCCCAGGACTCTGGGATTGAGTCCCACATCAGGCTCCCTGCATGAAGCCTGCTTCTCCCTCTGCCTATGTCTCTGTCTCTCTCTTTCTGTCTCTCATGAATAAATAAAGTCTTTTTAAAACTAAAAAGTAAATAAAAAATAAGGATGTTTGGATCCTTTATGTTAAAAATACCATTTAACCGTTTAACCAGTGTATCACCTTGTCCTGTAGGAAAGGTATAGATAGCTGCTCTAGCATCCTGAGGTTTCTCAGATGCTGAGCATAACCCAAGGGGCTCATGCTATTTCTCTGTGGTTGTTTGCAGCTACCCAGTGTCCACCCCTAAAGACTCCTGAGCAAGGAAGCATGAACTGCCTTCACTCTGTCGAAGCATTCCAGTATCAATCCAGCTGCCACTTTAGTTGTGAAGAGGGATTTGCATTAGTTGGGCCAGAGGTGGTACAGTGCACGGCCTCAGGGATGTGGACGGCTGCAGCCCCAGTGTGTGAAGGTGAGTTTCCAGCAGCTGAGGGTGTGTAATGTTCACTGCACCCAGTTCTTGCTGTGAGTACAGATGACAGTGGCCAGCTATGGAGAAGTTTTCCTGATTATCACAACTTGACTCTCCTTCCACGTGCCACTCAGTACATTGGGTACATCTGGGATAGGAAAAGGGTGTCAGGCACCAGAAAACAAGAGTATGACTTCACTAAAAACTAAATTTAGAAGTCCTCCCTTCTACCAAACTCACACTCCCCACTCAAGCAGTTACAGAATGGCTCCATTCATAAATTTCTCTCAAGAAGGAAAGGATGGCATCTACATCTGTGTAGAAGACCTACCTGGACAGGTTTATAGAGGTAAAAGGAATAGAGGACATTAGGAAAAAGCTTGGAAGACTCTTTTCTTTAAAGATTAAGATTATCCTGTGGACTGGTCCTCCAATTCTGGACAAATATCGGGAGAGACCCTTAGAGTTTTCTAGGTCTACCTGGATTTCCTGAGGTAGTTTTATCACTGCTCCCCCACTGTCGGCCTGGTTTTCTCCTTCCTTAGTATCTTTCTCTCTCTCCCTGGTTCTTCTCTGCAGTTGTGCAGTGTCCACTCCTGGAAGCCCCTAGCAAAGGAACCATGGACTGTGTTCATCCCCTCGCTGCCTTTGCATATGGCTCCAGATGCAAATTTGAATGTGAACCAGGTTATCAAGCGAGGGGCTGGGCCTCACTCCACTGCACTCGCTCTGGCCAGTGGACTGCACCCCCACCAGCCTGTGAGGGTAGGAGTTTCCTTTAGTTGCCCCCTTCCACCCGGGATAGGGTTATGGCACTGTGAAAAGATCAGGGGCTCTTCACCTCAGGATAGCCTCCTCCAGACTGACACTTGAACAGGTTGCCCAACCTCCATGCTCAACAGCATGCTTTTCTCATCCATGAAATGAGCTAAGAATTGTCAGGTGCTTTTGTGAGAATGAAATATGTAAACAGTACACAATTAACTGGCACGTGTAAAGTAGCTAGCATTAGACTAGGCATTAGATTTCTGCCTTTTTTCCCCTTCCTGACTTATTGGTAATATAGGCTGTGGGAAAAGTCCTCTCCTTGAGAGGAAGTCAGAACACTGGCTATTAGGACAAAGAGGGGGCTTCCCCATGGTCTTTTGGAGGTGGCTTTGACTATGGAGAGAAGCACACTGCAGTGGCAGAGGCTGTGATGCAACCCTTCACAGTTGCACAAGAGCACAAAACTGAATTCTGTACAGTTGCCTCATACCCTCAGCTCATAAGGCAGAAAGGGGGGAAATTGAGGATTGGATCAGTGAGTGCCCAGAAGACCTAGATTACAAACCCAGCCCTGCTACTGTCCAGATATAAGACCTTAGGGAAATAACTTAACATTTCTGAACCCCACTTTTCTCATCTGTAAAGGAAGAGAGAAGCACTAGAGGATCTTTGGTTCTTAGAGGCCCCAGTTCTATAAAAAGCAAAGGTCTAAGCCCCGGGTTTGATGGGGGTCTTCATACTATGAAAAAACCCAGGAATAGCCTGGAGACAAAATGCTTTATCAAGGAAGCACATGAGGAAACCAGTCTTTATCAGAACTGAGGTCACTCAGGGCTTAATTTTGTGCAGGAACTCCTCTTGGGCTGCACTCACTTTGGCAATTGAAGTCTGATGAGGATGACATCCTGTGTTTCAGAGACATGGCCCACTCAGGATCATTTTATAAGCCTAGGCAATTAATAGTGTGTCAACCATAAGCTATGTTATTCCAGCTTTTCCCTTAAAAGTCCAGCCTGTTCTGTATCTACTCTTTCCATATCCAATTCCACAAATATCACCAATAAATATTTAAAGAGTACCTTTGATGTACCAAGTACCGCCAGGCCCTGGGATATAAGTATAAATGACTGAGCCCAAGCTCTAGTAGACTGTGGTCCAAGGGGCAGCAGTACAGTAGTGTCTGCACAGTGCAGACTCACTAGACATTAGAGCTCACTAGAGGAGTCCCTACCCCTCAGCTGGGGTGGGCAGGAACAGCCTCCCAAGGATGGTGAAGTCTAAGCTGAGATCAAAGGCAGGTGAGTGATCCAGGCAAAGAGGTCATAGGACAGTGATCCAGGCAGTTTCCCTTACGGTAAAGGGAGGATTCAGGGTTCTGAACATACTGATAATATGGGTAGGAAAGATGCATCTCTTGAAAGGCTCTCCTGAGAAGGAACTGAGCCCTTCCATTACCCAGTTTCAGATGACAACTTTCTCTATTTAGCTGTTGCCTGTGGGCCACTGAAGAGTCCTGTTCATGGAAGCATGGATTGCTCCCCATCCTCGAGAGCATTTCAGTACAACACCAGCTGTCGCTTCCATTGTGCTGAGGGTTTCAGGCTGGAAGGAGCTGACCTAGTCCAGTGTACTGACTCGGGACAGTGGACAGCACCCGCCCCTGCCTGTCAAGGTACTGTGACATTGGAACTTTCCTTCTGCATCTCTCATTTCATTAAAGGTATCACACCTACATTTAGAAGACTTTCATTTATTCATCAGACATTCACTAAGAACTACTAGTGCCAGGCCCTCTTTGTGCTGCCCTAGGGATGAAAGCCTGGGCAAAGCACATGTTCAGGACAGCATATTAGAATTCAATGTGAAGCTTGCGCTGGTTCATAGAGTGGGTTGGCATGAAGGAGTTGGGGGTTGAGAGGAAGGAGGAATGATGCATGAGCAATGATGTGGGAAGGTAGAAGAGTAATGGGCAAGGCATTTGATCTAGTTCTGTCATTTCCTGACAACAAGCTTTTGATCTCTCTGGAGTTCAGGGCCTCTTGTAACATAGGAGTATTTGTGGTTGTGAATTCATGTGTGTTTTACAAGCAAGTTTAAGTTTAAGCAAGCTTAAAACTGCTATGAGTTTTACAAATGTATGTAAAATAATAATAACATTACCTTATATATCATATGTCTGTGATCTGATTTTACAAAGTCATCTTTCAATAGTTCACGTTTTCATATTTGCTCTTACAGATTAAAGGCATAGGGAAGTCACTAGGATTATTTTTATGAGGGTTACTCCACACAGAAGACATGCCCCAGGAAGGCAGTGTTGGCATTTCACGTTGCTATTTACTGGGCTCCCCGCGCAGTTTATATGAATCCCCTGGATCTAAGTAAACCCTGATTTAAAAACGAGGCAGTGTGAGGTGAACGTGATAACCACTACACTACGGGGATCCCCGGGTGGCGCAGCGGTTTGGCGCTTGCCTTTGGCCCAGGGCGCGATCCTGGAGACCGGGGATCGAATCCCACGTCGGGCTCCCGGTGCATGGAGCCTGTTTCTCCCTATGCCTGTGTCTCTGCCTCTCTCTCTCTCACTGTGTGACTATCATAAATAAATTAAAAAAAAAAAAATTTAAAAAAAAAAAAACGAGGCAGTGATTTGAAAGCAGGGTTGCAAAGAGAGAAAGGGATTTATACACTCATGTCCATAGCAACATTGTTTATAATAGTTAAAATGTAGAAACAACCCAAAGTGTCCATGAGTGGATGAAAGGATAAGCCAAATGTGGTTTATATGTACGGTGAAATATTATGTAGCCTTAAAAAGGAAGGAGATTCTGACATATGTAATAACATGGATGAACCTCAGGGACATTCTACTAAGTGAAATAAGCTGGTCATAAAAAGACGGATAAGGATAAGGTATGAATGCACTCATGAAGTTCCTAGGGTTGTCAAAATCATAAAGTAGAAGAGTGGTTGCCAGGGGCTGGGAGGAGGGGAAATGAGGAGTTCCTGTTTAATGAGTATAGAGTTTTAGTGTGAGGTGATGACAAATGATCTGTAGCCGGCTGGTGGTGGCGGCTGCACAACGATGTGTTACTTTTTATTAGTGAGCTGTGTACTTAAAAACAGTGAAGTGGTACATGGTAAATTTTATACTATGTGTATTCTACTGCAATAAGAAAATAGAAAAACCAAAAAAATGAGGCAGTGAGGGAGTAGATGACCATGCGCCACGATGGTGAGGGAATGGGATGTGTTGTGAATGTATTGTCAGAGAGACAAAGACACAGAAGGGCCCTTTGCTGTGCTTAAAAGAGAGGGAGGGATCTTAAGGGATCGCTGGGGCCATTTTTGTCTCCAGGTATGTAAATGTCATCACACTCCAGGGATAGTTGGATACTCTCTTAAACTTCCCAAGATATGGTCTCAATAACTCCCTTGCCAGGTTTTCCAGGTGTTTTCTGCTATGATGGTCAGGGTCTGCAACTATGTGTACTGTTAATAGTATCATTACTATCTATTACCACCATAGCTGCTGCTGCTTGCTGCTACCAGCAGATAATATTTATTGAGGACTTTATAGTCTATCTCCATAAGATAGTTACGATTATTGTTCCCATCTTTAAGATGAGAAAAAACAATGTATTAGAATACACCTGTTCTCTATGACCTTCTATTTTATATGCTTGAGATCATAGCATATATATATAATTTTTATTCTGCTTTTTCACTGAACGTTGTACATCGAGACACCTCCCATATCTAGGTGGAATATATCATTATTAGTGACCTTTAATATTCCTTTCATCGACCCGCCATAATTTATTTTCAGCTTCTGATTAGTGGCATTTGTGTTCATTTTCAATATTTTGCTCTTACAAGTAATGTTTCACTAAAAAAAAAACCTCTGAATTGATTTTTTGATATCCATCTTGATTACATTCTTAGCATACATTCATGGGTCCAAAAGCATAATCTTTTAAAAGTAATTCATGCATCTTGTGAAAATACTTAACAATGGCTTAGAATTTTCCTTATAAAATCCTTCACGTGCCATTGTGATGGATGCTTTTCTCATCCTCCAGTTTAAACACACCCCATTCAGAAATATCCGTTCTTGGCACTAGAAAGAATAAAAGGGTGAAAATCAATGAGTACTTGTGTATTACTCTGTCCTCACTCTCTTCCTCACCTCATAGCTCTGCAGTGTCAGGATCTTCTGGCTCCAAACAAGGCCCAGGTGAACTGCTCCCACCCATTTGGTGCCTTTAGGTACCAATCAACCTGCAGCTTCACCTGTGATGAAGGCTTACTCCTGGTGGGAGCAAGCATGCTGCAATGCTCGGGTACAGGGAACTGGAGTGCTCCTCCCCCAGAATGTCAAGGTAAGGTGAATTCTTTCTGGCATCTTGTAAATCAATTGTAGGCTGTATTTTCAAAGGCTATATTTTAGCGGTGGTGACTGTCTAAGGACCAGAAGCTTGAAATGGACTGGAAAATTAACAAACACTTTCATCCTGTAACTCACTGATTCCAAATGCAGGTGCCTTTAGTGGCCAGGCATATATAACATGAGCTGCACAATGCTTGGCAATAGGAGATAGGGAATGGCCCCTACTGTAGAACCTGGGGGCTTCTATCATAAACCAGGTACACCGTTCTTTTGGCTAAAAACAGTGTCTAGAAAGGAGGCCAGAAGGAAAAAAATAGCTTCATGATGGTTGTCCCAAGGCTGACCCGGCACTTTGTTCCTAGGAACCATGGAGTATATGGCGGAATGGGGGGCAACCTACAGGTATAATAGTGCAATGAGAGGGGCAAAATTCATAGGTGCCTGGCTGCAAACATCCTCCAAGTTCTGTGTAGGAATGGAGAAATACACTCAGGATACTATGTGAAGAGTGATGAAAAGAGGAAGATTTTCTCTAAATGCAAGATTATAGAATTCTCTGAAAATAAAAGATGCACATTCAGCCTCAAGATGTAAATCTTCATTGTACTTGACCAAAAAGAAAGCCAGGATAGTCTGCCAATATTTTATGAAATAGAACTGGTTCTAATCATTTGTGTTTGGGATCTGAAGGCCAGATACACTTTTTATACTCCCCATTCCTTTCTCCACTCAATGTGCCAAATTCTTCAGTTAAATTTATGCCAATATCACTTTGTTTTTATTTTTTAAATACTTTTATTTATTCATTCAGGAGAGACACACAGAGAGAGGCAGAGACATAAGGCAGAGGGAGAAGCAGGCTCCTCACAAGGATCTCTTTTTTTTTTTTTCCCTCACAAGGATCCTGATGCGGGACTCGATCCCAGGACCCCAGGAACATGACCTGAGCCAAAGGCAGATGCTCAACCATTGAGCCACCCAGGTGCCCTGGCAATATCACTTTTATGAAGCAAGATTTTCATTCATAAAAGCAACAGAAATATAAGAAAAAAAGTAAAAAATCCTCTTAAATACAGCCTGAAATAGGCATGGTTAGCATTCTTATATGAATTCTTCCAATATTTTTCCCGTTCACTTTTCCCTCTATGCAATTAGTATTTTTATGATGCATATGCAATTTGAATGATAAAATCAAATAGGTAAAATACTAGATAATTCTGCATTGTTTGCCTTTGCCTTTCACTTTGTACAGACTTTTAACATCTGAGTGAAAGCAGGTAGACGTGTTTTTAATGAAGAGGAAACCACTTGCTATTCAGGTCACACACCAGTGTGTTCACACACACACACACACACACACACACACATACACCCCACTGTTAAGTTAGGTCAACAGTGAATAAATGAGTGAATGAATGAATGAATTCAACAGAATTGGACATTTTTCATTTCCAGGCACCAGAGAGCATGGCAAGCCACTGGTGCTGGGGTTGAGTACACCCTGCAAGCATGGTCTGGAAAGATCAGAGTGAGGCTTGTGACCTTGACTTCTCTGCTTTAATACTGGCTACACTGAAGCCTGGATATATTACAAAGTCCATGGAGCTTTAGGGAAGAACTCAGAACCCCTGAGGAAAGTGATCACACTGATTAGAATACTTCCACAGAATTCTATCACAATAATCAGAGTTTACAGTTCATTGCCCCATATTGTCCTGCCTGTGGGTGTTTCACAGCAAGGAGGTTGACACTCACCATGGCTTCCTGTGACCTTCCAGTTCCCTTCTGCTTTTAGCTCTTTGTTTACTCTGACTGAACTTTCTCCCTATTGTTGCTGGGTGAGCATCAAGTGAAATACCCAAATGTGGGCTGGGCAGGAAGGTACATGAGGCTTGCAACCCTCTAGCTGTTGTAAGACTTCTGAGAGAGTGTTATCAGACAATTTCCCTTTTCAATGTCCGCTTTGCCCTGTTGCCCTCTGATATGCACCCCAGCTATCAAAGGCAAGGCCACAAAATAGCTGGAGATGGATTCCATGGCCCCAAGACTCTCCCAATATGTCCTTAAAGGTTACAAGCTTCTTGAGTTGTCTCCTCTCCTCTCTCCCACCACACACACATATACTGAATAAAAGATGTTTCAAGTGGCAGAAAATGACTAAGTCTTTGGAGAAGTTGATCAGGTTGAGGGAAATGTAGCTGCAAAAGGAGGGGGGGAGGAAAGAGAAAGATATAAAAAATACTCTTGGAACCTCAAGCAGTTCAAGTCAGTGACAGAAGAATGGCCCCGGGTTCAACTCTACTGTCACCAACTCTGGTCTAAAGCCATACACAAGTTAATCAGACCAAACAGTGAAGAGGAAACCCCTAAACCATGCATTCTTTTAGTCTTCATTTTTTAATGTCAACATGTTGAACCTGGGCATTATAGCTTAATTAATTGGCTCCAGGATATCTCAACAGCTATTAACATTTACATACAGTGTTTTTGCTTTTGAACCTTGTAAAAAATTTTGGGGAGCTGTGCAATGCCATTCTCCACATTTTAGATACTGAGGCCCAGAGAGGTTAAGTGACTTGCCCAAAGTCACAAAGCATGACCTCCAACCCAAGCAAGTCCCCTAGCATTTCAAACTCCATATGTTTAAACTGTGGTAAAGAACCATGAGATCTAATTTACCTTTTTTATAAGTGAACAAGTAGAGTCACTGGAGCTGGTCATAGGATGACACTGATGGGAAGAGTATTTGCAGATGGCCAGTTACATTATGTGCCTACTATGTATCCATGATTTTAAACATATTTTTAAATTTAATTTTTACATATGATTTAATTAACTTATATTTTATATAACTAAGGATCCCTGCAAGGCAAGAAGTATTATTTTTCCAATTTCGTAGATGAAACAACTGAAGTTCAGAAAGGTCTAGAGACACATTGCTGGTAGGGAACACAACTAATATTTGGACCCAGATTCTTTCTACCCCTTAGTTGGGGAAAAGAGCTTTTGTGAGGGGAGAAAGTATTTTACTTCGTTTTCCTATTTCCAATCATTTGTCACTGCTTTTTGGCAAGGTCATTAGGTCTTTTTTTCTGAAGGTGTCAAGGAAGCAGCTACTTCCATGCCTGTCCAGGGACACCTGAAATGAGCTGCATCACTATATTTCCAAACCACCAGCTCCCTTTTAGAATAGCCTCTAAAGCTCTTTGTGGGTGGAGGTTTCAGGATGCCAATCAACTGTTAACTGCTGCTATTTTATATGCCCAAGACCTCTAACTGGTGATAAAACAGCATGAAATTCAAACAATCATTTATAACCAAATACTGCCCCTATGTGTGCATATACACTAATTTCAGGTTGCTGTGTTCTAAAATGACCCCTTCTCTCCTCTGTCTGCTGTACCCATGATAGCCATGAGCTGTACACCTCTGCTAAGCCCTCACAATGGAACAATGACCTGTGTCCAGCCTCTTGGAAATTCCAGTTATAGGTCCACATGTCGATTCACCTGTGATGAAGGATTCTCTTTATCTGGACCAGAAATATTGGATTGTACTCCATCTGGACATTGGACAGGCTCCTCACCAACATGTGAAGGTAGGATCATGGATCTCTCCTTTCTTATGGCTTCTCAGCTAATATTATAGAAGGAGAAATCACCAGGGATTCATGTAAAACTGTTCTTAAGCTAAAAGAAACACACTCTCTACAAAGCATAGTAATTTCTGTCTTGCTCTCTGAATATTCCTATAACTTTAAACATTTCAGTTTCATATATACTTTAATATCACTATGACATTTGATGTTTGCCACCATTCTGAAATAATGGGGAAAGGCAGTGTTCTCTCCATTTCCTAGATGAGGAAGCAGAGGCTCAGGGACGTTAAGTAACTTGTTGCAACTCACACCCTTAGTAAGTGACAAAGCTCATCTGTCACTGGACTTTTACTTCCTTATAAAGTGTTTTTCCACTGACTATTCCTTCCTACATTCACCTTCAGTGAGCCCCACTGAAGCCCCACACACTGAGCTTATGCAGGGATAGATGGGATGTCATCCCTGCCCCTTGAGGACCTCACAGGCTACTTGTGCACTTCTGTCCTGGCTCTGCCTCCACATGGGCTATGAGGTTCTCTAGGGCAGGAACCATATCTTCTTCATCTTTGTATCCTTTGCAGCAAGTAGACAGAAGTGACTATGTGACAAATTCTTGCTCAGATGCAGCTTATCATTTACTGGTTAAATTTACTCAAGCACAAACCCTATTGACAGTGAATTGGAGGATCCTCAAAGGCAGGAGCTGGATCCTACTATCTTTGTTTCCCCAAAAACATCTGACTAACACAGTCCCTAGCATTTAGTGTACTCTAAAATAAAAGTTTACTGAAGTAATTAATGCACAGCTCACATTTACTTTCAAAAGACATCATTGGTCCAATTTATTGTTCTGTGTACTCAGTAATAATAAAACCAGCACTAATAACTAATGTTTATTGCTTGTGTGATAAGTACTAGCTATTTCATAGATAGAATCTCATTCTATCCACACAACATGGTTTTTATGATCCCCTTTTAAAGAAAAAGTAATGTAGGATTTGAGAGGATCCATAGCAGGCAAAGGCCAAAGAGCTGGGAAGTATGGAGCTGGATTCCAACCCAGGTCTCCCTGATTCTAAGCTAGTTTTGACACTGCACTGCCACCCAGTGGCAGTGTCCATAACATCCCTGGTCAGTCTCTGCGTTCTTTTCTACTGGCCAGCAGCCAGGCTGCTACTCTAAGTGCTGAAATGAACTTCAGAAATGGCAATGCCTAGCAATCAGACAAGAGAATGTGTTGGTAGAAATCTATTAGTGTTGTGTGAAAAAATAGCTGAAATATTGCTTATTCCTTCTTGTGGAGTGAACACTAGATTAATACCCAAATACCTATATTGCTCTTCCCCAAATCCTGTGCCATATAAGTCACATCACACTCTGTGAGCTTCAGTTTTCTAGATTCCACAAGGAGAGGAGTGGAAGAGCTAATGTCTGAACTCTCTTCCCTGGTCAGGAGTTCTGAGGTTGAAAACATAGAATGCTGCCATCAATCTAGAACACTATGGGGGACAACACTAAGGGCTCATACTTCCCCACTTATTTCTCATTTGCTTGTTCATTTATTCCATCAACATTTACCATAGGCTATATTTTCCCACATTCTGCATTAAGGCTAAAAAATTTAAAATGCCAAAAATTATCTCACTAAAATTTTAAATCACGTATGTAACCAATATAGTTGTTACACCCATAACCTCCAAAGCTCCTGTTTCCTGTTTTCTCCTGCAAGCACCCCACAGCCCTGCCCAGGGCCAAGAGCCAATCCTGACTGTGGATGGCAACTTGAGATCACTGTGGGCTTCAAAACTGGCAGCCTTGTCTGAGCCTGATCTTGAGCTCCAGTTTTTGTGCTTGTGCTTTCATCTCATTCTCCAAATTTATTTTCTGGATTTAGACAAATCATTTCTCTTCTTTTCCCACATGCCTGAATCCATAAGTTTTAACCCTTCAGCTTTGACCCCAGAACACTGATTTTTGCATAGAGTTTTGTGGATCTAGGCTATATATCAGAGGAGCTTGAGGGCCATTGAGTTAGCAGGACATTGTAGCAGGTGGACCACTCAGTCACTCATTTCACAGTGCAATGTGAGATTTCCTTTTTGATTAGTTCCAAAGATATTTCCTTTTTAGCTAGAACACCAGTTCTTGGGCCCTCTGCTGTCCTTGATGACCAAGGACCAATGAACCTAATGATTCATGAATTTACATGCAATTGTATGCGCTTACCTCACTGATTACAGGAAAACATCAGTGAAGGTCATTGTAGTAGACAGCACTGCCTTAGAAGTTCATAAAAATAGAACCCTAAGCATGTGATAAAAGCAACTGTTATCTGTTTTCTATTCTTCTTATAATTGTTTGGCTTTTGGTAAAGTTTTACAGTAGGCTTAAGAATATGACTATTTTTTCAAGTTATCCAAGAGGTCATTCCTTATAGACTTCTATGTACCTCATCAAGCCTGCTTCTCAGTCAGGAAAACATACTACCTTACATGATTCAAAGTCAAATCTTTAAAGTTATATAGAGGCCTTTGTTTGGACAAGTTTAATTCTTACCTAAGAGAGTTAGAAACTTTCATGTACAAAAACAAAAAAAAATTTAAGATTTTATTTATTTATTCATGAGAGACACACACACAGAGAGAGAGAGAGAGAGAGAAAGAGGCAGAGACACAGGCAGAGGGAGAAGCAGGCTCCATGCAGGGAAACCAACGTGGGACCGATCCCGGATCTCCAGGATCACGCCCTGGGCTGAAGGCAGGTGCTAAACCGCTGAGCCACCCAGGGATCCCACAAAAACAAAATTAAAAACTCCCAAATACCTGTATCTACAATCTTGTCAGAACAAGACTAACAATATTGAGACCAAATCAATAGCCCCCAAGTGGATTTAATGCTATAGGTCACACGAATTAAGTTTTTCAAACAGTAGCTCCTCCTGTTTATTTTCAAACATAAAAACATTCGTTAGAATGCATTCAAATTAAATTGTGCTCACTAACTTATTCATTCATTTGACAAACATTTAAGAGCCCTTACTAGGTGCCAGACCTTATTCCCTGGAATGCAGTGTTGAAAAGAGCTGACAAGGTCCCTGCTGTCCTACAGCTGACATTATACATTTTCTTGGGCTTTACTATGAAATCCTGAGAGAGTCTGAAAAAGTTGTTTTGGTGAAAATGTTCAGAGGTGGTTTAATGTCTATGACTTATATCAATAGACATATTCAATAAATGTTTGGTAAATGAAATTGATCTGCCAGACATGGAATTATTAATTACTCAAAACGTGAGCATTCTAAACTGAAATTCCTTGTATTACTTTGTTTATTTGAATGGATTCATGCAAAGAGTCATGATCTTTTGGTGAATAGCCTATAACTGAAAAACACATGGGCCAACATATAAAGGCCAGAAATATCACTTTACTATGAGGCACTATTTAAGACTTCAACAGGTTTTATTTTGTTTTGTTTTAAAGGTAAAAATGCTACGCAAAATGAGCCTGACTTGACCAAGGCATTGCTTTCAAATAACTTGGATTTAAAGAAAGAATAATCAGTTTGTCAAATATTTGATGATAAAGAATAGTCTTAGGTCAGAGAATTTCATGGAAACAAACACATGATCCTAACAGAAATATACGACCATAATAATTTATAAAAAATTTTGAGGGAGGGCAGTCCCTGTGGCTCAGCAGTTTAGCGCCGCTTTCAGTCCAGGGCCTGATCCTGGAGACACAAGATTGAGTCCCACTTCGGGCTCCCTGCATGGAGCCTGCTTCTCCCTCTGCCTGTGTCTCTGCCTCCTCTCTCTCTCCTCTCTCTCTCTCTCTCTGTCTCGTGAATAAATAAATAAAATCTTTAAAAAAAAAACTTTGAGGGAAATGGTTATTAAATTAAAATTCATTTATTTGTCCACTTGGCAAATGATTGCTGAGTACTACCTCTTGAGACCCAGTAATGTCAACTGTGAAAGACACAAAGCTTTATGGCTCTTGGGATTTTTTCTTAAGTTTTTTTTTTCAATTTAAATAATCTCTATACCCAATGTGGGGCTTAAACTCACAACCCCAAGACCAAGAACTACATGGTCTTCCAACTTAGCCAGACAGGTGCCCCTGGCTCTTGGGTTTTGGAAGCATTCCATCCAATAGGTGAGGGAAAATACGGCATGTGTTATGACAGCATGTGAGTTCAAACAAAAAACTGATGTGTTCAGAGAAGACTTCAGGCTGCAGTGAGCAGCAGAGGCTCTACAAGAGGCTGTGTTCAGTTGGATCCTACAGGATCCAATGGGTAGGATTTTTTTCAGTGAAAATGGAAATTTAGGGCAGCATGAGCCAAAAAACAGAGGCAAGTATACATGAAGTCAGTTCAGAGAATTTCCAGGGACTAATCTAGCTTGACCAGGAAGCTTTCAGCTTTCTTGTGCTGTGGAACTATGGCATTACAAAAACATTCTGGGTATCCAAGTGGTGGAAATAGTTTAGAACAGAAGATGGTCATTGATTTTTAGATGTACTGAGTTTGAGGAGATGGCAGGATATCTAAGAGAAAGTAGTTCTAGGCAGGAGGAAGAGCAGGAGTGGAATCCTGGACTGCACCCATCCAGACAGGATAGTGAGAGCCATGGGAACTTGCAGTCTCTGAAACACAAGTGCATAGAGAAGAGGATGAAATTGTGGGTTTTAAGTATGACCTTGACTTCTTCATTTTTGTAACTTCCACCTATACTTTCATCTGTGAGCTCACTATCCGTCCCCCTGCCACTGTAGCAAATGATCTGTGCTATTTATTGTGGAATGCCTGCTGCCTAGCAAAATACCTGACATAATGGGTGCTCAATACATATTTGTTGAATACATGAATGAATGAATTCAGTGCAAACCAAGCTTCTGAATAAACTTGAAGATTGTTACAGAATTTATTTGACTCTACAGCCATCAAATGCCCAGAATTATTTGCTCCAGAGCGAGGAAGCCTGGCTTGTTCTGACACTCATAAGGAATTCAGCGTTGGCTCCACCTGTCATTTCTCCTGTAACAAGGGCTTTAAGCTGGAGGGATTCAATAATGTTGAATGCACAGCTTTGGGAAAATGGACAGCACCTGCACCAATCTGCAAAGGTAAAGTAGTATACACTCACTGAGACAGTTCTTCTTCCAGAAATTTCTTCAAAAATAACAAACACTTATATAAGTTCTTTCTTACTATTTGACAGGTACACATTATAATATTGTTATTGTGAAAGCTCCCTTTCTTATTTTAAAATGAGTTATCTATTGAGATCTAGGAAACATAGCCTATGGATTTAAAGAATTTATAAGGTGTGGCAGGACTTCTTATTTTTGTGAATAAAAGATATATTGATTCTTTTAAGGTTTTATCTATTTATGAGAAAGAGAGAGAGAGGAAAAAAAAAACAGCAGGGGGAGGAGCAGAGGGAGAGGGAGAAGCAGGCTCCCCGCTGAGCAGGGAGCCTGACGTGGGGCTTGATGCCAGGAACCCGGGATCATGACCTAAGCCAAAGGCAGACGCTTAACCAACTGAGCCACCCATGTGCCCCAAGATATATTAATTTTTAAGTAGAAATTTTCTTTCATAATTTTCACCTCTTTTTCTGAGACCTTTACAGAGTTGATTGAATAGTCTCTATTGCTTCATTGCCAGGAAGGAGTACAAGGGGTGGAGTCACTGATCCAATTTCTCAAATCAAGGAACTGAGGTGTAGAGAGGTCACTTTCTGCCATATGGAAAGCTAGTGGCAAAGCCAGTGGCATCATGCATACCTCACATTTCATGCTGACCTTCTGCCAGCAGATAGTGCCACCTCCCAACAAAGCAGAAAGGGCAGGCAATTGGCTTATGCATATTTTGCTTTCTACCACATTTCTTACATTTCTGCACCAACTCTTCAATTTTTATTACTTTTTAAAAATATTGGTAACATTGATCATTCCCCACCCCCTATTCTTCCTCTGGTCTAGAGAATTATCTCTCCAAGGATAGAAAGATAGGTGATAGAAAGATAGATAGATAGATAGATAGATAGATAGATAGATAGATAGATAGATAATAGACTTTTTTTTTTTGAGAAAGTGCATGAGCACTTGGGGTGGGAAGAGGCATAGAGGGAGAGGGAGAGAGAGAATCTTAAGCAGACTCCATGCCCAGTGTAGAGCTCATTGCAGGGCTCGATCTCATGACCCTAAAATCACAACTTGAGCCGAAATCAAGAGTTGAATGCTTAACTGACTGAGCCACCCAGGTACTATTCTCCAAGAATATTTTTAAGTATTTTTTCTCATCTGGTTTTCCATACCTGAGATTAACAATTTTCCTTAACTTCCTTGAGGAGCTATTGCTAGAGCCTCCCTTATTACGAGAGTGGAAGGCAGTTTATCGCATGTTAGTCTTGACTCTGTTATGCTCCGTTTATTGGGAGCTCTCTAAATGGAAACATGTTTTCACAGCAGGCATAGTGTCAGCTCCTACTTCAAAGGTTCAGTGTCCAGCCCTCATCACTCCAGAGCAAGGAACAGTGTCCTGTAGGCACCATCTGGGAACCTTTGGTCTGAATACCACTTGCTACTTTGGATGCAAAGCTGGATTCATACTCATGGGAGACAGTGCTCTCAGATGCAGACCTTCAGGAAAATGGACAGCAGGAACGCCAACATGCCAAGGTAATGGGAAAGGAACAGCAGCTCTGAAGCTATCTTCCAGCTGGCACTCACACTTAAAATTGTACCTGCCTGTTGAAATTCCATCCAATCCCAATGACCTCCATGTCAGCTCCTCCATGAAATCTACACCAATCCCAGTTGGAGGTAACGTACCACAGGCATGTCACTTCTCCCCTTGCTATGTCACAAGCAAATGCCCTAGCCTCAAAGACATAAAGGAGGAAATATTTGCAAATGTCCGAATGTATGAAAACAAGCATGCCGAACATGAAACAAACTATAAGAATTTGCAAATACAAGTTGCAATTCCATTAACTATGTGATAATGTAAACATTCCATATTTTCATAATTGGAGTCCAACTAAAAAGATAAGCCATCATGATACTTCTGGCAGAGCTGTCACACCATATGTGAAGTACTATGTCTCCTCCATGTTGGATTCCCCACAAAGACCAGAACAGTGCCTTGCAAATGTCACTATTGCTCAATAATGTTTATTTGAGTTAAACTTAATTTCCCAAGCTTTAGTTTCCCATCTACAAATTAGGGACGATAACCTGAAGTTCCCTGAAGGAAAATTTAAAAGAGGGTGACAATCTCTACTTCCTTCAAACTTCCAGAGGCAACTATGCTGAACAATTACTATTTTAATAAACACCTGCTGACATGCCAGCTAATTATCAGTGGTAGTAATAATAACGTTTAGAACAGTATTTTTGAGAAATGAAATTTTGAAAACAGTATTTTTATAGTTAAATTGATCAAGCCATTAGTAGGTATTTATTGAATGTTGCTATGTGCCCATCCTAGTTCTTTGGCTACTGTTCTCTGAGTGAGTGGACATCTTAAAATATGTGGTGTTGGAGGAGCTGGGATGAATGTCAGAAGTGGCTCATCTACTTTCTGATCTTTTACATTCTACCTCATTTGCTGCCAATACTAGCCAGATTACAAACGAAACCATAATCTCTATTACCTTCATTCTCCATGTTGGTTTTTCCTGCATTCTTTTTCCCTGCAGCTATCAAATGCCCTGAGCTGCATATTATTGAGCCAGGCATGATGAACTGCTCCAATCCTTGGGGAAATTTCAGCTATGGATCAACCTGTAGCTTCCATTGTCCGGAGGGCCAGTTACTTAATGGATCAGCGAGAACAGCATGCCAAGAGAATGGCCAATGGTCAACTCCCATGCCAGCCTGCAAAGGTATATTTTCCTTTTGGTTAGAAAGTCATTTTGAGAAGGAACATAATAAAATCAGTGTTTCATTTCTGTGCATTTCTGACAGTGGTCTTACTTTCCATCACTGGGTTTCCCCTGCATTAATAAATATTTTGTGACAAATCAAGCAGAATCTCCTTGCCTTCTGCAGAGCAGTGGGAATTAAATTCAATGACTGTATAGACAATCACCACACCTTTTTTTCAAAGCTTGGATTTGTCAAATGAATCCTTTCATTTCTTTATAATCTTTGTGTAATACTTCTCGATCCCAGGACCCTAGGATCATGCCCTGAGCTGAAGGCAAGACGCTCAACCACTGAGGCACCCAGGTGTCCCAAACTTCTACTTCTTTAATCATTTTATTCACTTTATTAGGTCCTTCCCCTGTATCCTTTGGACATTATGTTTGATATTTAATCATTAGGAATAAAGTCAGGCCCTGCTTCCCATTCTGTTGTGGTAGTTTTGTGGCTTCTAGATCTCTCCTGCTATGTTGTCAACAGTGCCAGGACCTTTGATGATCATGCTTGATCTCACATCTCAGAATTCTTGGGACATCTTCTGGAAGAATGATGGTCTTTTGTGCAACACAGTTCTTATGCCCTGTGTGTGTTTGTTTTGCAGCAGGGCCATTGGCAATCCAAGAATCCCTGACTTACTTTGGTGGAGCAGTGGCTTCTGCAATAGGTTTGATAACATGTGGGACACTCCTGGCTCTGCTAAGAAAGCGCTTCAGACAAAAAGGTAAATAGGAAAAAGTCTTCTCCTTCTTTTCTTCTTTCTTATCGTTTGGAGAGGGGTGGTAAAACTACAACATCAGTAGTTCGTATTTGAAAAAAATTGCATTTAAAGAAAACAAGCCCAAGAGAAGTCATCTTGGAATCTGACTGCCCATCAGAATCACCTTTATGAAAGCACAGATCCTCATAGAGAGAGACATAGACATAGTCTTGGAAATCCGAGTTTCTCAAAAGCCCTCCTCTCCAAATTCTGATGAGGCCAGTTGGTGCATTGGCACTTGGGAACCTCTGGTCTAGGTAATCTTAGTTATCTCTATGACTAACTGGAAAGTGTCATGTTCTCCTCCATCATCATTCTCTTATGTGATGGTTATTTATTGATCAATGGTGTTAGGTAGTGCCTATGAATCAGAAATGCTGTGGAGGAAATGAGAAATAAAGCTAGAGGTGTGAAGAACAGCTGTTTAGTCATGACCTGGTGTGATACTCTAGGACATCTGTACATTCTTATGAAAATGTGTGGAGCTAATGCTGGACTGAAGCAGGGAAGAGACCCAATGGATGAAGACCCTCTATAAGGGAGCTGTGTTTACCAGACTGTTCATCAAAGGAGGAGCTCTGGCCTAGGAGTGTAAGAGGCGAACTGTCTCTTAAATGTTAAAACAGTCTTTCTCTGTCTGCCTCAGATGCTCAGCCCATAAGCTCAGAAACCTTTTCATAAGCTAATGGGTCTCTTCATCATTTCTCATGGAAGGTAACTAGGGGCACCTGAGTGGTCAGGATGACTCAAATGCAGGTAACTGAGAATGGCTGTTATATCTGATGGAGTTTTTGTGAACGGAGGACTTTCAGCACCCATTCTTAACTGTTCAAGGACAGAACCTCTTGTTCTATACTTTTGAGCTCTCTCCATCCACAGTCATCATTGCATTGAGGCTGGTTTTCTAAAGCTCCTTCATATACTCTTCCTGTGAATGGGTGAGTGGGACAAAAGACACAGCGTAACACTCTGCTTCAAGATTAAAGAGCCACAACCAGATCTTCCATGTAACATTTGTGTTTATTTAACCAAATCCAGAAGGCAGAGGCAAGACCTCCTAACCCTCTAGATCCTACTCTCATGTAGGAATCACACTATTCCTGCATTTTCCCCAAATTCTTTCTTTAGTTTTGAGACATTGCTAGAGAATCCTCTAGACTATGAAGAGAGACCAGCAGCCACCCATCCTCCAATATCTTTAATAATAAATAAGCTCATTTGGGAGAATGGGGAACTTTTCCTTGACCTGTCCCAAGGTTATTTTAAACTTTCTAATATTCTATGGTCAAATATAGGAAAATGCTGCATACATGTCCTGCAAATTCAAAATGCATAGTCATTATCACCTTGAAGACTCAGCAATGCCCTGTAATAAATGTATTTGTTCATCTTCATTTGACCTAATATTTTCTTTTTTTAAAATATTTCATTTATTTATTCGTGAGAGACGGAGAGGAAGAGAGAGAGAGAGGCAGGGACACAGGCAGAGGGAGAAGCAGGCTCCATGCAGGGAGCCTGATGTGGGACTTGATCCCGGATCCTGGGATCATGTCCTGAGCCAAAGGCAGATGCTCAGCCACTGAGCCACCCAGGCATCCCAGACTGAATATTTTCTAAATTTATTTAGCCATGAGATGCTTTCCCCCTTTTATGTATCCATGGGATGGTTGACAGGCCTGCTGCCATATTTAAAGTTTCCACTCTCAGAGTCCATCATTTAGATTAAGATAGGAGGCTCTGGTCACTTGTGTTACCAGAAAAGGAAAATAGTCCTTGTTATATTGGTATGGATTTTTTTTATGTGATTAACTTGCCCAATTAGTGACTGGAGGGAGTGTGACACAGGTTGCAATGATAGGGAGCCACAAGTGCCAAAGTAATAGGTTTCAAGAACCAAAGATCTCAATATCAACAATAACCAAAAGTAGCCCAAAGGCTGAAGGCAGGGACCAGAGGAAAAAGAAGAGGTTGTCACTGAATGGGAAGAGAAGAAAGATGAGAAAACTCTAGATTACATACTGTCAAATGTTTAATTTAGCCTAACAAAGGCCTTACCTCTCAGAGAGAGCTTGTTCCTAATATACTCTTGACAATGAACCCATCTGAAAATCAGTTTACTGACTTTCCCCAATAACTCCCACCACTGATGACCTTTCTCCTGCGTATAGTTTTTTTTTTCTCTTTTCAACTGATCATTTGTGTCTTCTTGCTTATTCCAGATGATGGGGAAAGCCCCTTGAACCTTCACAGGTAAGATAGACATGTTTCATGAGTGATTAAATTGGTAAAATTTGGATTTTTCATTCACTGTAATATATCAGAATGATTATACATAATGACCCCTTTCTGCAACACATCTTTTGCAATGTCCCCTTTACTAATTCTAAAGTAAAATACACAGATAACATATCCTAACCAAACATAGTGTTTTTAAAAATCAGTAAGTGCTCTAATTATAAAGCAAAGCAGAGACAAACTGATGTAAGTGATATGTAATAGAAATAAAACTCTAAAGCTGAGAAACTACTCTAATGGATGCTATGAGGTTATCAGAGACTTGCACCTTTGGACATAAAGACCAATAGTTAGGAATACCGTATCAGTGTCTCAAACAGCATCAGAGGCATTGTCAACACCAACTTGATTTTTTTTAAATGATGAATGACTCTGGTAAAGGATTGGAAAACCTGTCATAATCTTCCCTCAACTCACATGGCAATTGTATTCTAAAAGATGCAAAAATATATATTATTTATATCTAAAGCAATTAAGTTCTAGGCTCAGATGTTATTCACCTACAGGAATATTGAATAGATATTCTAAAATTTTATGGAATGTATGATAATTCTTTTGTGTCCAGTGCCTATTGGGATATCCAGCAGCCCTTTCCCTTTCCCAGTGTCAGCAGAATTCTTGATAATTGTGAAAATTAAAAAACACCCATAGGAGGCAGTACTCCCATCCTTTGAAAACTATGGCCAGATGATCAAATATCAAAGCTGGGCATGTTCTGAGGATTTCTTCTCACCAGGGAGAGCCATAGCAGGTATTCTAGTACCTAGAGTGTCAACAATAACTTCACGTGGGTGTAAGTGCAGTGTAAATTACCCAGAGCTGCTACGTGGGATCTCAAAAATTTCTTAGGCATTTGTTTTTGTTTCCCTTTAAAGCAGAATTCCAGGGTGGGGTGGTAATCCACAGTCTCTGTGGAAAGTATGTGCTGGACTGTGGTCAAGGATCAAGCACTGTATGGCAGGTCATCTTTGTATTTCTGTTCTTTAGCCATCTAGGAACATATGGAGTTTTTACGAATGCTGCATTTGACCCAACCCCTTAAGGTAAGTTACCTATGAAGATATATATTTTTTAATTTTTATTTATTTATGATAGTCAGAGAGAGAGAGAGAGAGAGAGGCAGAGACACAGGCAGATGGAGAAGCAGGCTCCATGCACCGGGAGCCCGACGTGGTACTCGATCCTGGGTCTCCAGGATCGCACCCTGGGCCAAAGGCAGGCGCTAAACCGCTGCGCCACCCAGGGATCCCTGAAGATATTTTTGAAGGAAATGGACCAGTAGGGTAAAGAGAAAGAATATTAGAACTTGATGTTTCATCATATAATTATGAGTTAGATTTTAAGCATGTATTAAGTTTTTAAGCCTTGAAGGAAATTGTGTTGGCAGCAGGGGACAAGATATGTCAGTAGACTGATAATAGAAAGTAAGTTTATTTGAGGATTTCCATTTCCTCCAGGATAGAAATGTTCTAATAAGATATAATTATTTCAGGGTGTATGACATCCCCATTAATGGCTGCTTGAAGGTATTAACAACACCATGGTCCTTGCTTGGTAACCAGAAGTCATACTACTGGAAAAAATTTTTATGAACTTTTATGGAGCTAATCCCCTATGTGACTTGCTGGGAAAACAAAAATAATCTGGTGCATTCTCTCCTCCAAAAAGCTAACTGGGTTGCCTAAGGAAAGTAGCCTAGATGCCAGAAGGGATTATGTTGATCCTCAAGGGACAGATATGCTGAGAACTAGCTAGCTAGCTTGCTTACTTTTAAGGAAAATATAGTTATTTTAATTTCTTTCGTCTCATTTTCAGAGACCTGTCCTGCTGGTCTCCTCACTCAACCTCCACAGGATCCTATTTTTGAACACCAGTTTTCCTGCCAGACTTGAGTTACACTGTAGCATATTAGCTGCAGTTTTCTGGTAATACTTGTAAGGAAAAAAAAAAAAAAAAGACATGGAGTTTCCTTTAGATTAGTTCTGGATGAGAGCAGAGGGATTGTGCCACAAGTCCAAAGTCTCCACCCACCCCCCCTTTCCTGCTCCACCTCTTCCTTATGTCTGAGACGCCGGGACTGAATGTCTGCAGTGGTCTGTGGGCTTTGCCCAGCTGTACTTTCTTGACAGACTAATTAACCAGAGACTGAAGCATCTGACTTACCAGAAGACCAAACTGCGGAAAAAGAAAAATGCCTCTTTATTTTTGGATTGGAGGAAGGCGTTCTCTAATTTGTTGGAAGGCAGGTGGTATCTGTGACTTGAGGGAATTTCTATAAGATCTTCTGGGGTCTCCAGTGTTTGCTGCTTATGAAGCGTATTGCACCCTTGCTGCAAGGCTTCCAGAGAAGCCTCTGGATGGCACCAGAGTGCAGAAGACCAAGAATCAAGATAGGAAGGCACGTGTTACCTTCCCTCCACTGGTCACTCTCCTCAAAAGAACCTCAAGACCAAAATTTAAATGTGCGATTTAAAAGATTCTTCCCAAATGCCATGCTTTATTATTTGGTGTTTTGTTCAATAATGTCTGTGCACATCGTTTTTTTTTACATCAATGTAATGCATAATTACTGTTGTCTTGATTACAACTTAACCCTTCAATCAGTCAGCAAATATATACTATACCACTGGCCCCTACACAGAACCAGGGAAGAAATAAAATCAGAAGAGCAGAAAAAATCTTCATCACCTGAATGTCCTATAAGGAAGAACAGATGTTATTTATTAAATCACATGTTTAATATGTAGATTGTTGAAAGTTACATAGTAGTTATCTGGAACTGGTGCAAAAATAGACAAACAATGCCTTTGTCTTGCAATAAACATGTCATGTAGAATGAATAACATGTGGGTAAATATGTAAATAAAAATGATAAAACAGTCTAAGAGTTACGGTAATTTTGCAAGACCTTTGGTAGTAACCTTGGGATTTAGGAACACATTGCTTTTAAAAAGTTTCTCCTTAGGGAATCCCTGGGTGGCTCAGCGGTTTGATGCCTGCCTTCAGCCCAGGGTGTGATCCTGCAGCCCCAGGATGGAGTCCCGCATCGGGCTCCCTGCATGGAGCCTGCTTCTCCCTCTGCCTGTGTCTCTGCCTCTCTCTGTGTGTGTGTCTCTCATGAATAAATAAATAAACAAATAAATAAAAATAAAAAGTTTCTCCAGTAGCACCCGGTGGCTTAGTGGTTGAGCATCTGCCTTCAGCTCAGGGCATGATCCCAGAGTTCTGGGATAGAGTCTCGCATCAGGCTCCCCGTGGGAAGCCTGCTTCTCCCTCTGCCTATGTTTCTGCCTCTCTCTGTGTGTCTCTCATGAATAAATAAATAAAATCTTTAAAAATAAATAAATAAAAATTTAAAAAATAACTAAAAAGTTTCTCTGATACAGCGTCAATAGCATCTCTGACTGCTTATCACTAGGCTGGGTATTAAAGGACAATAGTTAACAGTCCTATGTCCTTAGTCAGAATCTCTAATTTGTAAAAGCTCTCCCAGGGAATTCTGATGGTTTATCAGCTTTCAAACCAATTATAGATTGCTTCAAACTATTATAGATAGAGAAGAAAGAGGAAGGCACTGTTCGTGCTCTTGAACAGTTTATAATCCAATTGAGGAAACAATAAACACTGACACAAAGTAATAGAGGGTAATTAATTCGAGTATTATATTTTAATAGTGTTGTAATCTATAAAATGGAAATAGTCTATTTGAGTCCAGAATTAAGGAGATGGGTAGGACTCTGAACTGAAGCAGTGTTCAGTTAAGAGGAAGAGATGGATATTCTAAGTCCACAGAGTAACATCAGCAAAGGAAGAAACAGAAGACTGTGTATGGGAGGAGTGAGTGTGGAGGAGCCTAACATCATGGAGACCTCATGTGAAGTGCCAGATAATGTATCAAATCAATTGATACAAACCATAAGACAGGAGCTTATGCAGATTCAGGGAATCTTTTTTTTTTAAGATTTTATTTATTTATCCATGAGAGACACACACACACACACAGAGGCACAGACACAGGGGAGAGGGAGAAGCAGGCTCCATGCAGGGAGCCCGACGTGGGACTCGATCCCCCATCTCCAGGATCACGCCCTGGGCCGAAGGCGGCACTAAACTGCTGAGCCACCCGGGCTGCCCTGGAATCTTGAACAGTTATAATGATGCTTCAGACAATATATTCTCAGATTTTCTATCAATAGCATAATAAGATCTTAAGGCAGTGTGAAACAGCCAGATCCTCCAAGAAACACAAGAAAACCATAATCATAGTAATACACATGTGTTATGTGCTCTGGAATTAGACACCTCACAATATCCTTTTATCCTCCCAACAATTGCATCTGGGAAAAATTCATATCCCCCTCTTGTGCAGATGTCAAAACTGAGCCCTAAAGAGGTTGAGTCACTTACCCAAGCCCGCACAGCTAGTAAGTGCAACCGAGTCTGCTCCTCTGATTGTCTCTGCTCTGCTACTTTCATGGCCACAGACCCTCATCAAGACAGAACGGTGCGGGATCCCTGGGTGGTGCAGCGGTTTGGCGCCTGCCTTTGGCCCAGGGCATGATCCTGGAGACCGGGGATCGAGTCCCACTTCGGGCTCCCGGTGCATGGAGCCTGCTTCTCCCTCTGCCTGTCTCTCTCTCTCTCTCTCTCTGTGACTATCATAAATAAATAAAAATTAAAAAAAAAAAAAAAAAAAGAACGGTGCATGGGTAGAAATCAGTAAAGTGGTCCAGGCCTGTAGGCCCCGTTCTGGTGCTCATCTCCCTGCTTCCTCACCAGATTCTAATGTTTCCGCGCCCCTAACGGGCATAGTACCCTTTCCCCCAGACCAAGGGAAACTGATGTAGTTGAGGGCATGGGGTGACATTGCACTGGGAATTGCAGAGGGTCTTGCAAGCGTGAACTTCGCCCTGGCAGTTTTTACGGTGGGTGGTGAGGGGCTATCGCCCCAGTGGCCTCAGCAGGTGGAAGGGCAGGAGCGGTTTGGCCTGTGGCTCAGGCAGCCCCGCGCACCGCGGCGCCAGCAGCGAGAGCCTCTGACCTCGGAGCTGTCTCCACCTGCCGTAAAACATTCACTCGTCTGCTCGCTCTGCCCTTACCTCCTCCATCGGGGGCGGTGACCTAGCCACCCCCTGCCTGGAAGGGCGCTGGTTGGGGACGACGGCGGGAGGCTGCGCGGCCCCGGCCCCGGGAGGAGCAGAAGGGCAGGAGGACACCGCCCCCGCCGCCTCCGGGGCGCACTGCAGCGGGGCGCGATCCGCGGTCCCAGGCTGGCGGCGGCGCGCGGGAGCCCGAGAGGAGCCATGGCCCCAGGCTGCGCGCGCCTCTGGGTCCTGGTGCTGCTGGGCGCCAGCTGCACGGGCTGGGGGAGCTGGGGGAGCTGGGGGAGCTGGGGGGCCGAAGCGGCGCGGCTCAGGCAGTTCTACGTGGCTGCTCAGGGCATCAGCTGGAACTACCGCCCTGAGCCCCCCGACCCCAGGTGAGGCAGGTCCCGCGTCCGAGGGAGCTTTTGGGGAGCTTTCCCTTTGCAATTCCATGGCTTAAAAAGGGGGGGAGGGGGTTCCATATTGCTCATTTAAAACTCTATATTACTCATTTTAAAACAAAACTGCTATTCTTATTTCTAATAATACAGTGTGTTAGATAGGAAGTTTTGTTGTCTAGATGCTGTTTGAAGGGTTTGTTAATACAGTTTTGTTGGTGTGATTGATTGTTAGTTCATTGATTGATTCTAAAGCACCAGGCACCAGCCCCTCATTAGCCCTTCCTGCAAAGTCCCATTCCAGATTTTAGTAGCCTAGTATTTTTTTTATAGAACTTCCAGTTACATATTATTTATTTCATTCTCCACATAGCTTCATCTTCTAAAACTAAGGATGTATGCATTGTCTTTTATTTAAGCAGATTGTTCAATAACAATTGCCAAATTGCCATAATTTTGTTGTATTCTTACAAATGACGTTCAAACCACCATCAGTCCATAAACATGCAACATTTTTGTTCTTTTACCTTTTCTTCTGCTTCATGTGACTCTTCATTTCTTTCACATTCTTAGTCCATGGGACATAGTCTACCCTGGCTAGTTTGGAAAGGCCACTATTAACAGACATATGTAACTAAAAGGTGGCTTAAATAATAAAACTCTTATTTTTGAACTGAAAACTATTTTTCCTAATTGAAAGGATAAAAATAAGACTTCCCAGAAATTAGATAAATTATAGGACTTACTCACTATTTCCAGTTGGTTATATTTATATTTTTTCATTGGTAAACCTCTCAGTATGACTCATTTTTTTAAACTTAATATCACAGTTTAAATGATTGTGAAAGACCAGTTCCTCTTTTATGATTACAAAACCAAAGCAATCAGCCAGAAATAATGTAATATGTTAAGAGTCTTGTAGTGTATAACATTAAGCGCCTTAAAGAATTGCTTTGTAACTGGGTTACTTTGAGGAGAAATCCTTTTTTAAAAAAAATCATTTTAAATATTGCCTTTCGAGTTGATGATCTCGATCACACCCACACCCTTAGAGAACTGCCAAAACCCCAAAGAAAATCACAGGCTTTCCAACATTAATCTCTTTTGCTCATGGGCAGACATTAACCTGCTTGTTGTCTTTGCTGGAGTACTCTGTGCTTATGCTTGGGAGTTTGTTCTTCTGTAGTTAACTCTAAAAATAACAAGCAGAATTCTGGAAGCAGAACCACGTAGGGCAAAAGCCTAACTCACGTGGGGAGTCCAGAGGGAACCATGACTGGTTATCTGATCCCCTCACCCTGTGGTCGAGTTTCCAGAATTCTCATACTTCCAGTGTCAATTATTGAGCCAAAACCATAAAATGATAACCTAGGCCAACTGTCAATATTTTTGAACCTCAAATCTCTGGTACTTTCTTGTGAAAAAATCTAACCTGTAAATCTAACTGCTTAAACTAAGAACTGGTGATCGAGTGTCCTGCATCTACAGCAGAATGATACTCACTATAAGGAGATCAACATATACCGCGCCATTCTTTGTCAAAGTCTACTTTAGCACAAAACAAAGATCCTTCCCCTTACTTCATCCAATATTAGCAGGAGAATGCCTTTCAGAGGTGGGACATATCTATCATTCTTATCCCAAGTCTGACATAAACGTTTTTGAAAACTTTTCTAAGGAAACTTATTGAGTCACTTATATGTATGTAGTAACAGATATTGAAAATTAAAACATATGTTTTTTTTCTCTCTAGGGTTCTAGGTTTCTACTCTACCTGCTTCCCTTTCTGTGCTTACCTTTCTTCCCTTTCTTGCCTTTCTTACATGAGTTTACCATGAACACAATGGTTTCACCTCTTTGTGACTTGACTGTGCCATTTATCCCTTGTTTCTCCTCTGGACAAGTGACTTGCATTTTCCAAGACTTGCCTTTTTCATTTGTTTGTTTATTTCCAGTATGAATCCCCAGGGCTTTAACTCCATTGGCCCTCTCCAACTTCCCAATTAGAAATAGAGTCCACCAAATCAGTGGTTCTTTATAATGTTCCCCAATAATTCAAATCTGTATGTGGTTCATCAGGTAAAAAAATAGACCATGTATTTATTCATAAAGGATTTGGTTATATTTTTAGTCATTTACGATCTAAGCCTAAAGTTTGGGTTCACATAATAATCTTGGGTTCTTTTTTAGAAAATAGATTCTGAGTAACAGGATTAGTGGACAGACTAAATTTGGGAAAGACTGATTATCACAACAGAATATTCTTGAAGAGATCAATAATCATTTTTAAGCCCACCTATTATGCATATTTGTAAAACCCTGGTTTCTGAAATACAATTAAAATACCATTATTCCTACTACCTATCTGAGGATACTAGAAATCCATTCATTTTGTGATGTAAGATGTAGATGTCATATACGACTTTCGAATTAATTTCTGTACTTTATTTCTAGCTCAAATACTTCCTTTAAGAAAATTGTCTACAGAGAGTATGAACCATATTTTCAGAAAGAAAAACCACGATCCAAAATTTCAGGTAAGCCTGAAGTACATTATTTAATTTTAAAGATAAATCTCTATGATAATTTGATATTCTTGGGTATCTGAAATAACTGTTTAGCGACATTTTTTAGTAATGTGTGCTTTTGTTGTCTTTAACCAATATGGACTGCATAATTTGTGGGGCCCAGTGAAAAATGAAACTGTGACAAATCATGAAAGACTCTTAACTCTGTGAAACAAACTGAGGGTTGCTGGAGGGGAGGTGGGTGGGAGGATGGGGTAACTGGGTGATGGGCATTGGGGAGGGTACATGATATGATAAGCACTGGTGTTATATGTTGGCAAATAGAATTTAAATTAAAGAAAAATGAAAATGTGTGGCCTTAGATTCATATTTTTGAGAATTTCAAAATAGTATCAGCAAAAAATTACACCAGGGGGTCGGTCTGGCCCATGAGGTAACATGCCCATGAAGCTGGCTATTTTTAACACTGATCAAAAATCTAAACAAAACATTTGTTTGAATTTTATTCGTTGACCAAACCAACTATTGTTGAGCACCTGCTATGGGCTGGGCATTGAAGAAGGCACTATGGATGCCACAATGGACAAGGTAGAGACGTATCCTGCCTTCCTGGAGCTTATGGTATAGTTTACTGAATGTAGATGAACCCTAACAAATGATCTATTGCTTCTATCCAGCTCTCTGGATTCATTCCAAGGAACCATATATGGCTGGCTCTTTTGCATCTGTTTTTCCCATCTCTTCTCCTGTTTTATTTAGTGTGAGGTATACAACAGCTTCATTTTCAAAGAAAATGATCAACACATCATTTTCAAAGAAAAATATCTCCCTTTTCTTCATCTCTTTTTTTATTTGAGAGAAAGACAAAGTATGAGTGAGGGGAGGGGCAGAGGAAAAGGGCAAAGCAGACTCCCCACTGAGTGTGAAGCTGTCCAGAGCCTTGAGCCCAGAGCCTGATGTGGAGCTCCATCCCAGGACCCTGACATCATGACCTGAGCCCAAGTCAGATGCTTAAGAGACTGAGCAACCCAGAACTCTTTTCCTCATCTCTTCTTTAATCAAGAATGTAGGTTGAATGGACTTTCGGGTTCTTAAATATGGTACCATATTTCACAGTAATGATAGAGGCCATGAAGAGAGAACTTCCTCCATTGGGTCCCCTGATCGGTAATCACTCATCCTTCCATACTAACCAAGTGAAGACTGGTCAACACACCCAGATTCATCCTTCTACCTTTCTGTGCAAACTGTTCCATCCTGCCTCCTCTGATCTCCCTTTATCTTCAGTCTTTGGCTGGAGCCTTCTCTTCAGTTAAAACTCAACAACTATGTTCAAATCAACCCCCGTGTAGAAGAAAATCTCCCTTTGACATCATCTGCCTTTCCTCTGTCTTGCCTTTCTTATATGAGCAGCCCACTCTGTTCTCTGTAGTATTGTTTCCTCTCCATATATTCCCTCTCTAATCCTCGCTAATAGAAATCCACTAAACTCACTCTCAAAAGAGGGCACCCATGACCCTGAGATGCCAGAACCACTGGTTTGTTTCCAGTTCTTTTCCCACTTGACATTACTAAGACATTTAGTGATCCCTCTTCTTGAAACTCTCTTTACCCACTTTCCCCAGGGCCACCTCCCTTGGTGAATGGAAGTGAATGGGGAAAATGGAAGCAGGGGTAACTTATAGGTAACTCTTTTCTGAAACTTGGCTCCACATGTGAGGAGAGACAGGGTGGTTCTGGAAGGGAATGAGGGGCTTAAGAATACTTTGCCTAAGATATCTGACAGAAAAGGGGAGGCTAATGACATGTGAGGAAGAATAACTGCTAAAACCAGACTCAGAAGAAATAAGAAGTGATATGATTCAGAGTTTGGGCTGAATTAGCTTGAGGTAGAAGGGATACTTCACAGGAGCCAAAAAGGCAACAGACAGTAAAGTTACTACTAAAATAGAGTTTGTGGTTGTGGGCAGAAAGTTGAAGGATCTCCTGTCCTCTGAAACAGAGTCTCTTCATTTTCATAGCTCCAGCTCCAAGCTTACTATGTACAACAGATACTTAACTATTTCATTAAATTAAATTGTAGGTGGGTAAAGGGAAAATGAACTGGGAAGCATATTCATTAGGCCTGGGAAATAGAGGAATTGGGCAGGTGTTGGAGAGCCTTACCTTTTGTGGCTTTGACCAAGCTACTGAATTTCAATGTCTGGGCTGTGTTAGGCACTGTGCTGAGTACCCTAAGCGCTGGAAAGGCCAGTGCCAGGCTGGAGACTATTTTCTGAACAGGAAGGAATTGTTCATAGTTTTTAGAGAGGAGAGCCACTGTAATCAAAATCCTTTGAGGGCAGCCCGGGTGGCTCAGCAGTTTATCGCCACCTTCAGCCCAGGGCATGATCCTGGAGACCTGGGATGGAGTCCCACGTTAGGCTCCCTGCATGAGCCTGCTTCTCCCTCTGCCTCTCTCTCTCTCTCTCTCTCTCTCTCTCTCTCTCTTTTTGTGTGTGTCTCTCATGAATAAATAAATAAAATCTTTAAAAAAATCCTTTGAGACGATTACCTTTTATAGAAATTTCCGGCTTTAGTCTCATTAATTAGAAGTAGACCTTGGTCATAAATTTATGTTTAAGCCCTGTGCCCTTAAAAATCACCTGTCAACCCCTGTGTATCTCATAACACATTTGTTTTATGTGAACTCTGAGGCATTTTAATACCATTTTTAAGCAGCTTCCTCCTGAACTCCCAAAGTTACTTAACTATGAATCCCTGAAAGGCAAGGGTAGTATTTTATTCATCTTTGTATCCCTACAGTAGCTGAAACAGTGAGTCAAATCTGGGGTAAAGCCTAAGAAGCTCCAGGTTTAAACACTGCCATTGACTCTGTGACTTGCTCCATTCCCCAGCCTGGTTCTAGGTCATTGGCACCTTTCCCCTATTTCTTGCTCCCCCACTGGATTGTGTGATTCTAGCTGAACCCCAAACAAGTCATGTGACACTTCTGCAGTATAAGCCCAGAAGTCACTGTAACTAAGAGTAGGGGTGAACTTATAGGACTAGGGGTCTGAATGTGTCTGTCTGGGGAGGTTTGCACACATGTGGACAGGTGGAGGAGCTGGGCTTATTTTAAGAATCCTGTCTGGGGCTTTAAAATGACTAGTGTTGACTTTCTGAATTTCCTCAAGGAAGGTTATGAAATGTTTGCCCCTGAGGGGTTTTAAAATAGCTACAACAATGGGCTGCCCTGTTTTCTGTAATGTGTTATTCACCTGAACACAGGAGATTGGATTAGCTGACTTCATGTTGTCCTTTTCAACTCCAAAACTGCATGAAATTGGGTACACACTGTGCTACCTTCCTGGGGCCTCAAGATAGGCAACTCCTTCCCTGGCTGCAGTGCCTGGCACAGAGGAGGGGTGGGGAGGGTCCCAGGCCATCTGGCTGATAGAGGCTGATGAAGCTCAGGCAACATTCAGGCATGTGTTTGCCCACATGTGGAAGGTAATTGGTTTGCATTTATGAAAACATGCCTTTGTTTTGCCTTAATTCCAAAGGAACAGAAAGGAGAGGTAAATAAATGCTTCAAACCATTCATTGCAGCAAGAGGTCTTATTAGGTTAAATAACTTAGGAGACTTATCCTGGGCACTGGGCATTTGTAGCCATGTGATGCCAACAAACAAATCACCTGAGCAAGGCCACCATGGCAACAAAATGCAGTGCACACAGTGACAACAGAGTCAGCACTCTTTTGGGCTCTCAGGCATCCCCACTGGGAATAGCCAGCAGGGGCTTCCATTAGGAGGTAGAACTAAGGGTAACAGCCAGAAGAGAGAGGTCAGCTAGTGGAGTTAGATGTGGCCAGGAGTCAAAAATGGTGTAGAAATTGGAACCATTTCAGGAAAGGGGGTGGTTCTGAACTTGCTCTGTGCAAGATGGTAGAGAAAGCTTTGGTTCAAGAGTCCAGAGACCGGAGTCCTAACCCCAGCAATGCCATGCAGTGATTGACTGACCTTGAACAAGCCACCCTCCCTGCCTCCACATCCCAGGTTTTGTAACTATCTCTAAAATGAGAATTGAACACTGTGACCTCCCCAGTGCTGTGCAGAGCTAACACAAAAACAAACAAAAGCTTCAGGCACAAGATCAGTATAAACTCTAGGACTGGGAGTTCAGGGAAAGGAAAAAAACTGCAGGTAGAAGATAGGAATAGGGAAAGAGGGCTTCTCCCCCAACGCTTGGAGGGCCCTTGATTACATTGTCCCCCAACCCTGGATAATAATCTAGGAAACTCTCCCATCCAACATCCTTACCTTAGTCGTCACATCTGCAGAGCCCCTTTGGCCATGCCAGGTAGTGTATTCACAGATCCCAGGAGTTATGATGTGGACATTCTGGGGGGGCATTATTCTGCCTCTGATATCCACCAAACAAAACTCTCCTGCAGTGTCATCATTTCAGAGAACGGTACCCTCCTGCACCCAGCCCCCCAGCCAGAACATCACCAGCCATCCATGGCAACTTGGTCTCCCTCACCCTCCACCCGTATCCCATTCATCAAATCCTGACAGTTTGATCTCCTAGTAGATCTCTAGTATGTTCTTGTCACTTCCATTACTATAACCTTACATTAAGTCACCACCATTGCCCCCTGGAGCCTTTTATCTGTTCTCTCAGTATCCACTCTGAGCTCTCCCCAGCTTATTCTCCACCAATGCAGCCAGAGATTTTAAAACCCAAATCCATGTCTCACCTCTGCTAAAAACTCTTTAATGGCTTCCAGATACTCTTAGAGGCAAAACTCTAAAAGGTCTAGAACGCCCTACATGATGGGGCCTCTGATCATGCCTTCAGCCTCACTTTCTGCCTATCTTATCTGTTAAACTTTACCTTCACTGTGGCCATCTGTCAGTTTTCTTAATATGCCAAGTTTTATAGTGCCACAGGCCCTTTGTACAAGCTAATCCCAATCTCTGAAATGGCCCTGGTATGCACTTTGCCCACATATCAGTGGTAGCTCCTACCATATATTTATCCCCAACTAGTGAGTGCTCTTTGAGGACAGGAACAATGTCTTATTTATCCATGTGGCCCCAGGATTTAGCACAATACCTGTCCTGTAGTAAGTGAAACTTCATTCTTGATTTCTGCACCTCTAAACTGCTGTCCCAGTGTATTCCACATTGAAGTAACTGATAACATTGTTTACCCCATTGCTCAGATTAAAAAACCTCAGGGTCATCCTTGATTTCCCTCACTCACATGTCACGTACAACCCATCAGCAAATCCAGCTGACTCTACCTTCAAAATGTCAAGAATTCAACCTCTTCTCACCACTTACTTCACTGCTGCGCATGCTGGCTTGTCTGTACCACCTGCTCCCGTTTCCACTCCCATCACTACACAGACTGTTTTCTACACAGCAGCTAGGATTTACCTTTTTTTCAGAATGAGCTTTTAAAACACATCAGACCGTGTCTGTCTGCTATACAAAGCCCCGGTGATTTCCCCTTCACCTAGAAGAAAATTGAAAGTCCTCACTCTGGCCCATAGAGCCTCACATGAGCCCCTCCTTCATGTCTTCTCACTCTGCCTGCATTGTTTTTCTTACTGTTTTTTGGATACATCAAGCTCACTCTTGCGTCAGGGACTGTGAACTTGCTTCAGGGCCAGAGTACCATGGGATTTTCTCCCTCACTTCATTGAGTCTCTGAAATCTCCCACATCAGGGAGTCAGCCGCCTTTCCTCAAGTCACCCCACGTAATTGAAAATAAACACCTTTCTTTTCTTGACTGAAGGCAATAATCTCCAAGAAATGACAGGGGTCAGAAGGGGGTAGACATTGGTCAGAACTCCTCCTCTCTCTTGACTTGCTTTGGGCCCAATTCAAGCATTTTTACCTTCCTGTCCTGACCTAACCACATGCAATGTAGAGATGATGAACTGGCAAAGCCTTCTAGAATGAAGACAAACAGGCCAGCCTTAGGACCAGGAGGAACGACAGCTGTCATTCATGGGATTCTCTGCATATCTCTGTGCTTAGCAGCTTCACCTATGATAGTCATGAACACAGATATATTATAAATCCTTGTTTCCATAGGACTTCTTGGGCCTACTCTATATGCTGAAGTTGGAGACATCATAAAAGTTCACTTTAAGAATAAGGCAGACAAGCCCATAAGCATCCATCCTCAAGGAATTAAATACAGCAAATTCTCAGAAGGTAAGAGTAATTTAATATTCCTCTGGCAGCGGAAAATGTATAACTCTAACACCAGTGTCAGACATTTAAAACCAGATCATTAGTGACATGTTAGAGAAATCTTTCCTTCAACAGGTAATTATGAAAATTATTGCCTTTGTAAGTTTCAGAGAGGAAAATGAACAAATTCTGGAGTCATCTAGACCTCAGGTTTTCACTGGGTTCTTGCTCTTTAACACTTGGATAGGCAAATTACCTAGTCTTTCTAAATTCCAGTATGTTCATCTGTAAAATGAGAACACTAACACATACACATTGCCAAGTGGCTTAAGGCAAGAGTGTCCACAAAATTCTCCGTGAGAAGGCAGATAGTAAGTATGATTGGCTTTGGGATCTCCATTGTAACTACTCAACTCTCTACCATTTAGCACAAATGCAGTCACAGACAATGTCTAAGTGAATGAGTATGGCTATGTCTCAGTAAAACTTTATTTACAAAAACAGGCAGCTGACTGGATGTAGCCCATAAACCACAGCTTGAAGTAGTGACATAGGACTAGCCTGACAGAGGGCTAGCCCTACAGATAAAGCACACTTAATAAGTGGTATTTTGTGGTAGTGGTGGTGGTCATCGTAGTAGAAGTATGATTAAAATTTTGGACAAAGTGAAATGGTTGAGAACATAAGCTTTGAAGGCAGAGTTAGGTTCAATTTCTAGTTGCATCACTTCTGGTTCTAGGAGCTTAACATCTCTGAGCTTTAGTCTTTTCATCTATAAAATGTGAATGGAAATAAATAAATAAAGTCATACCCACCCTATAAGGTTGCTTTGAGTATTAAAATGAGACTGTTTAGGGATCCCTGGGTGGCGCAGCGGTTTGGCGCCTGCCTTTGGCCCAGGGCGCGATCCTGGAGACCCGGGATCGAATCCCACGTTGGGCTCCCGGTGCATGGAGCCTGATTCTCCCTCTGCCTGTGTCTCTGCCTCTCTCTCTCTGTGTGTGTGACTATCATAAATAAATAAAAATTTAAAAAAAAAAATAAATAAAATGAGACTGTTTAGGTAGTGTATAAAATATGAAACCTGGAACATGGTAAGCCTTCAATAAACCACAACAATGATGATGACAACAATGGCCAAGATCACAAAGATAAAAGTGACCACATCAGCCACATGACAATAAGTACCTATTGTTGACATCATTCTTATTATTTCCATTATGCTGATGTTCAGACCACAACAAGCACAGTGGAGTTCTCTTAGGAGCTGATATAAGAAAATTGTATCCACATTGCAATAGATATTGGTATAATAACAGTTTTAAAAAACTTTGGACCTTACATGACTCACAAATCTTCTTTATCCAATATGTTCCAGCCATAATATCTTTGAAGGGGGCAATTGAGTAAGAAAGTGGTTTACAGTGCAAGTTCTGGAAGTAGACCGGTTTGTGCAAACCATGGCTTACACTTACTAGCTGTGTGACTTTTGAAAAGTTACCTGACCTCTTTGTGCCTCATGTCTCTCACCTGAAAATGAGAATAAGAATCATACCTACCCTATGTAGGTTTGTTTTCATGAAATCTTTGAATAGTATCTAGCATATAATGAACACTTGATAGATATTGGACATGAGGTAAAGTTGATTCTTCAATTGAAATGTATTCAAATTGTTACATCTCCATTATAAATTTTTAAATGTGTTCAGATAATTTCATATTTATCTGATAATTTATGGATTACAAAGTGAATTTTACATTGATTTTTTTTGTGTAGATTAGTAATCAAACTCATTCCAACTAAGGTATATATAACTGATAATAGGTCGATGAACTACCCTTCCCAGGAGTATTTGCATTAGCACTTAATCTTTGGCTTGAAGAAAAACAATGAAGGATTAACTGTGAAATTTCAGGTGTTTTAATGAGCCAATTTGGCAAGACTAAGTGAGGCAGCACGGGCAAGAGTCCTATGTTCCTAAAATCATACAATGGAATAGCAAACAACCATTTAACCTACTTATTAGGCTTCCAGATAACTACATCAAGAATTCAGCAGAGTAAGGCTAGAGGGAAGAACCTCCAAAATGTCACATCCTGGTTCTGTTTCAAATGTGGGAGGAAATAAGGTTCGTGGACTTTGTACTCCAGCTGGGCTGTTTGCACAGGGAACAACAATTGCAACATTATCCCCCCTTCCTCTACTGTGTATTTATTTGTTCTTACACTCCCCCACAGCCAGTAGTCATCTATAAGCGATTGTTTAAGATGCTCCCACCACTTCCACTGGTCACCTGATCATTGCCCCTAATCCCCTAAACCTGAGAACAGTAAATACAAATTGGTGGGGAAAATGAAATTTTATTTTGGAAATGAGATGCAAGCCCTATCTATTTAAGATAAGAGTGCCCTTCATGGTATGACAAGTCTTCTGTTCATTTTAACATGCTCTCTGCATCAAAATACAGCATCCACTTCTTGCCTGACACTCACCCTGGCCGATAGCCTTCCTCTATGGTTTAAACTATTTGGGGCAGGGTGGAAATCAATTAACCATATACTGAGCCAGCTACATGAGGATCCAGATTCCTTTTTTGCAAAGGTAGGTATCTGAGAGATGGATGGTGGGAGGTTGAGACATTATGATAGGCCTAAGGCAGGACTCAGTCCTTGCCTCTGTGGCTGCTTGATCTAACTAGTCAATGATCCAAACTTGACAGCAATCCTACTTCTCTGGTAATTAATCCTTGAACCCACCAAGGATTTGGAGACCTACTCTCATCAGCTAGAAGGAAAAGATAGCCATAGAAAGAATGCTGGCTTTAAAGCCAGAATGGCCTGGCTTTAAATTTGGGAAATATTCTTTACCACTCACCCTTAGTTTTGTATCTGTGAGATGGACGAAATTCCTCCCATTGAAGGTTATTGTGGGGATTAGTCATAATATATGTAAAGTTCTTGGAACATGGTTGGTAGACAATGTTAGTCACTGTTGTTATGGTGGTTATTTCATGGCTCTTCATGATTCGAACATTAAAATTTGTTTCCAGTAGCTTAGATTGAGGGAAGGCCTTGGCCTTGGAAAGTGCTCATCATTTTATTTGTACTTGAATGAAATAAAACTCTCTCATAGAATTTAGACACCACAATGAACTAAAATTGTGCAGAAAACCTCACTTATCCAGACACAAAGGAATGAGTCATTTTGAATCATTACATTTTCCAGATAGCTTGGGGTTTACTTGTTTAAGTGTCTAAGATATTTTTTAATCACTTCAGATATATGTTATACTTCCCCAGACTCTTTAAACAGAAGATGAGAAGTAAAACTCTAATCTCTTTCTAAGCCATTACTTCTAATCTACTGTGAGGTTTTATGAACAACCACAAATGTTAGAACTATGTGCAGTCTAAGTAAACCAATTCAAAATGAAGGTCTACGTTATTGTATATGGTACTGTCTATGGGTAAAGACCCTGAGCTTCCATTCATGTTTGTTTGTTTTTTAACATCTATTTTGGTTGCCCAGAAGCCTTGTTGCTTTTTCAAATTATTGGCTATGCTTTAGTTAGGAGATGGTTAGAAATCTGAGTTCTGGCCGGGAAAGATGCCACTCAGTGTGGAAGTCTCATGCTGGCCTTTCATCCATAAATTGGCAGCACCTGACATAAATGATAGGTTGTAGCTTGGTGTTGCCAAACCAATACCAGTTGTATCCCTCCCCAGGTGTGCCTGGGAGAAACCTCACTAGTACACAGGGTGAAGATGAGTAACCATTCAACAGACTGCACAAATCACGATTTGTAAAAATACCTACATGCCTAAAGGAAATGCTCTTCCGAGTATTTTTACATATACTCGGAAGAGTGTGTGTGTATATATATATATATATATATATATGATTTTATTTATTTATTCATGAGAGACACAGAGAGAGAGAGGCAGAGACACAGGCAGAGAGAGAAGCAAACTCCATGTAGGGAGCCCGATATGGGACTCCAAACGCAGAGGCTCAACCCCTGAGCCACCCAGGTGTCACTGTAGGAATATATTTTAAACATGGAAATAAAATAAAATATCTACAGCTATACCTAATCACTTAAATACTTTCTATCACTAAGCATTTCAATTTCAGGCCAAAATCTCAGAAACTGTAGCTCACATGCACCGAACTGTTTGTAATGATGCACCATTGAGCAAATTTTATTCTTCAATAAGATTTTGTAGCTGATTTGGTCAATTAACTTTAAAGGTTTGTTTCAGAGTGAATCTTAATATTATTCTTTCTTTATATTTTCACTTATATATGTGTGTTGCATTATGACACAAAATTAGTTTTATAATATTTAGCTGTCGACTAGCAAGCCAACTCTGAACAAAATAGAAATAAATAGATAGGGGGAGAGAAAGAGAGATAAACGCATTTTCTAAAAACACCAGAGATTGTTTTTTGCATCTAGTGTTGCCAAATTCTCTACATGAAAACTTAGTCTTTTGGGTTTTTCCAAAGCATTCTAATGCTTGACATAATGTGGGCAATGATATGTTTCACATTTTGTCTGAATATTTTGGCTTTCTACAGACACTTCTTTGAATATATGATAAGTACTCCAAACAAACTATAGTGGCTGATATAATAATTCTCATAAACCTCAAAAATGTGAACTCCCTTTCGAAAGAGACTTGCAGGGCACCTGGGTGGCTCAGTGGTTGAGTGTCTGCCTTTGGCTCAGGTTGTGATCCCAGGGTAGTGGGATAGAGTCCCACATAGGGCTCACTGCAGGAAACCTGCTTCTCCCTCTGCCTATGTCTCTGCTTCTGTCTATGTCTCTCTTGAATAAATAAATAAAATCTGAAAGAAAGAAGGAAAGAAGAAGAAAGAGAGAAAGAAAGAAAGAAAGAAAGAAAGAAAGAAAGAAAGAAAGACAGGCAGACTTGCATGCCCTGTGCAGAAGAATCTGTTTCCTTGGAAAACATCAGCATTCTACTTTGGCCATTACCTAAATTACAGCTTCTAAAAG